TCCATCCATCCACATCCATCTCCATCCATCCATCCATCCATCTCCATCCATCTCCATCCATCCATCCATCCATCTCCATCCATCCATCCATCTCCATCCATCTCCATCCATCCATCTCCATCCATCCATCCGTCCATCCATCCATCCATCCATCCATCCATCCATCCATCCATCCGTCCATCCATCTCCATCCATCCATCTCCATCCATCCATCCATCCATCCATCCATCCATCGCTCACCTTCATCATGTTCTCTTTGGCCTCGACTGTGAGCACCAGATAGAAGCACTGTCCGTATGTGAAGTCTCTGTCGAACACCAGCAGGAGTTCATCTCCAGGGTATTCCTGCAGAAAAACAGCCGGTATAAACCTGTACACACACAGTACCTGTACCCAAACCCTACAGTAAATACATGTACAGTAGTTAATTAATATTACTCACTAATTAAATATATAATTACACTGTAACAATGACACCTTAAAATAAACGGCAAAAAATGCTTTTCTTACTCAGTGTTTTTGTCTTGTTTCCAGTCCAAATATCAAAAAATCCTTAAATCAAGATGCATTTACTAGATGAGTAAAATAACATAAGATATTATGTCCTGTTTTCTGGAGAATTAATCAAAATTAAGAGAGTTGATGCTTAAAAAAGCTAAATTATCTGCCGATGGAGTGAGAAAAATAATGTTGTTTCTGTTTGAATTATGATTATTTTTCTCACTCCATTGGCAGATAATTTTGCTTGTTTTAAGCATCAACTCACTTAATTTTGATTAATTCTCCAGAAAACAGGACATAATATCTTATGTCATTTTACTCATCTAGTAAATGCATCTTGATTTAAGAATTTTTACATATTTGGACTGGAAACAAGACAGAAATACTGAGTAAGAAAAGTATTTTTTGCAGTAAATAGAGTTGCTGTCAGGGTCTGACTGTTAAAATCATCTTCTGAGGTTCGTATCGTCTTCAGCTCGTGAACCGGTTCAGAATGTGTTTGACTCTCACCAGCACGATCTGTTTGACGGGGCTGAAGTCGGACACGGCCGCTCTGGTCTTCATGTCTTGCACGATGTCTTCCTTTCTCAGGAGCTTGTAAGGGTTGTCTCCGGTCACATCCTCATCTGCCCGGCAACCAAACAGCTCCTGAGTGACAGAGGTCAGGACCAGCGGGAAGATGTGATCGGGGTGACCTGTGGGGGAAGGAGTCACTTAGATCACAGCTATATGAATAATACCAAACAGGGTTATGAAATTGAATTTCAGCAGTTTTATTGCAAAATTGTCTGTATTATATGTCAGTCAAGGTAAACTAAAAACTTAAAGGGATAGTTCCCCCAAACATGTAAACTCTGTCAGTAATGACTCTCCCTCATGTTGTTCAACCCCGTAAGACTTTCGTTCATCTTCGGGACACAAATGAAGATATTTCTGATTAAATCTGAGAGCTGGATCACTCCTCCATAGGCTTCTACGGGATTGAAACTTGCCGGCCCAGAAAGTTATTAAAGACATCGTTAGAATAGTCCGAGTGACGACAGTGGCTCAACCTTAAGTTTATCAAGCGAAACAAACAAAAACAAACAAAAATAACGACTTTATTCAACTCTTCATGTCCTTCTGTGTGGGCCTCGAGTGAGTTCACGTAGTGTAACAGCGCAGCGCTTCTGGGGTGTACGTCACACGCAGGCTCACTATTGCCCGACGCTGGTCATGTGTGTGATGCTGGCCAATAGTGAGCCTGCGTGTGACGTACACCAGAAGCGCTGCGCTGTTACACTACGTGAACTCACTCGAGGCCCACAGAGAAGGACATGAAGAGTTGAATAAAGTCGTTATTAGGGCCCAAGCCCAAAGGGCGAAGGCCCTATTGTTTTCCTTAGGATTATTTATTATTATTATTATTATTATTATTATTATTATTATTATTATTATTATTATTATTTTTCTGCTACCTTTTGGACACTTTTGGAGGCCTTAACATGCTCAAAAACTCCTGAAACTTTGCACACATGTCAGAACCCGCGGCCATCAGGGCCGGGCTGAAGATGGTACCCGGGCGTGGCAGGGGGGCTCGACAGCGCCCCCTGGAACGGGGTCCGAAAACATGGTCCATAAATCAAACACGCTTGCATGTAATAATATGAAACTCGGTACACATGTAGATCTCCTCGTTTCATATATACTTCACACTCTTACTTTTTACCCCAGCCCAACAGGAAGTCGGCTATTTAGGGTTGTTGGTAAAACACACGCAATGGAATGTGAAATACTCCTCCTAGAGAATTCAAACAAACGGCACGAAACTCGGTCAGCATGAAGTCAAGACATTGAGGATGAAAGTTTGCGAGGGGATTTTTGATATCTCGAACGGTTTGGCCGTGGCGAGGAAACAAAATTATGGCGAGAAACGTGAAACAGGAAGTGTGTCATAACTACTGCATACATTAACTGATCTTGATGAAACTTCAGCAGTGTGTTCGCTGTAAGAGCCCGATCACATGGATGTGACTATTGTGAGTCAAAGTTATAGCGCCACCAACTGGCAGCAGGAAGTGTGTCACTTCCTAAATGCTTTGAAATCACCCTCTTATTTTTACCCGATTTGCTTCAAACTTTATGTGTATAATGTAAACACACGGCAGATGTAGACCTGTGAAAGGATTATTGATATCTTAGATACTGTTGCCGTGGCAACACATCAAACTTTAATATTCTTGTTTGATGCTTTTGAGACTCTTAGCATGCTTGAAATTGCATGAAACTCGACAGACACAGGTATGCATATGGTTCAGATCAAGCCGGACAACTTTCTAATTAACTGTCATTAGCTCAGACCAAGAGGAAGTTAGATATTTTGGTTTGAATGTGGATGTTTCTGAGAATTTTCTCTCCCTCTCCCTCTGACAGAGAGAATGCACCCTGCCATTCGTGTGTGTCTGTGTCTGTGTCTGTGTGGGGAGGGGGGGAGGGGCTCTTTTAGTTTAAACACAAAATTATACATAGGGCCATACTGCCCTCTTGTGTCCAAAATTATATTTATATATACATTATACATATATTTGGTATGTGACTGAGGACCGAGAGCTTTTAAATACGGGACATTGATAATGGCCACGTGCAGAGCGCTCGAGGGAATTCCTATGGAAGTTCTGCTCGCTCGTCGCCATGGACGCGCACCATTATGAATGCCAGTGCAGCCGCATACTTTTTAGTGTCACTTTAAAATTAGTGCAATAACGGGGCCGATTGCTTGAATTGTGAGTTCAATAGTCTATTATTTTTCACGGAAAACACAACAACAAAAGAGTACAATGATAGATTCGCTTAAATAGGGGCTTTTACATAAAATAGCCTATTCCGTCATCATCTTTTCAGTCAGCTCTGCACTCTCGTGATTAATGAAATTTGACTCCTGTTGCTGATATTTGCTGCAACTTTCGTTCCGCTCACAATTTAGTAAGCAAACACGCTTCAAATGTGTTTTTATTTTATTTTTGTGTATATATATGTGTGTGTATATATATGTGTGTATATATATATATATATATATATATATATATATATATATATATATATATATATATATATATATAGCTTATGTTTCAAATATGAGTTAATTAACAATCGTTGGAAAGAATGATACTTTTAATATCACTAAACCGTCATTAGGTGTCGCCAGGCGACCGTCTTAATGAGCGAGTCATTGATTCATTCGTTCAAACGATTCGTTCGAACGGCTGAGTCATTCATGAATGAGACAGATTATGGATTGGTCGTTGAATCTTTGAGTCAACCGATTCGTTCAAAATGCTGAATCATTCAGTAATGAGAACGCGTTGCTGTGAGATGCTCGATGGTTCTGCTGTGATCTTTGTTTAACTATTTTCGCTGCTGAAACAGAAAAAAAAGTCAATATTGCATCTAAAATGTAAGTGATTTGACGTGTGTGTGTGTGTGTGTGTGTGATTGTGTCTGTTACAGTGATTGTTTAACCCTTGTTAAAGTTTAGGCCTTGTCTTTTTGGATATATATCTTTTTATATAAAAAAAAATAGCATACAACCCATGTATTTTAAATGTAATGTTTGCTTTAAATTACATTGAGATTTGTATGTTTGGTAATTGAACCTGAATGAATTATAAATGAATGTGCTATATTTCAGATCATATATTTGTTTTCCTTAAAATTTGAACTAACACTAACTTTATTCTCATCTGAATGATAGATTATTTATTTCTGTATAAAATAAAAACACATTTGATTTTTCTTTTTTAATCAATGTAGAATGTGTAACTGAAAAAATAAACAGATTAGGGCTCTGATCGAGGACAATAATGTCAAAAAAAGAATCAGGGCATGTCTCATATCTTTCTAAAATGTAATTATACACCATTTATTTTTATATAAAATTATACAAATATTAGAACTAAACCCATTTTATTCCTTTTTTTCAATTTAAGAATTATTTTTAAGTTTAAAAACAGCCAGAATGGTTGTTTAGTCAAAAATAATAATAATCCAAATCATATATAGTGCTATACTGCCCTCTTGTGTTCAAAATCAGGTAGGCCTATTGAATTTATATATATTTATATATTAGGGATGTTACTATGGGAATATTTTCCCACCGGTTAATCAACGTGTGATTGTGTAAACCAATTGTGTAAACCTCCCGCTGGGGGGTTTAAAAACACTAACTTGAAAGCGAAAGTATAATATGGACGTCCGCACGGACATTGAAATGGTGGCGCTCGAATGAATTCCTATGGAAGTAGAAATTAACTAAACGTTCGCTCTGTTCTGCTCGCTCGTCGCCATGGACGCGCACCATTATGAATGCCAGTACAGCCGCATACTTTTTAGTGTCACTAAAATTAGTGCAATTTCGGGGGCCGATTGCTTGAATTGTGAGTTCAATAGTCTATTATTTTTCACGGAAAACACAACAATAAAAGAGTACAATGACAGATTCGCTTGAATAGGCGTTTTTACATAAAATAGCCTATTCCGTCATCATCTTTTCAGTCAGCTCTTCACTCTCGTGATGAATGAAATTTGACTCCTGTTGCTGATATTTGCTGCAACTTTCGTTCAGCTCACAATTTAGTAAGCAAACACATTTCAAATGTGTTTTTATTTTATTTTTGTGTATGTCTGTGTATATGTATGTATATATATAAATATAGCTTATGTTTCAAATATGAGTTAATTAACAATCGTTGGAAAGAATGATACTTTTAAACATAACACTAAACCGTCATTAGGTGTCGCCAGGTGACCGTCTTAATGAGCGAGTCATTGATTCATTCGTTTGAACGACTGAGTCATTCATGAATGAGATAGATGTTTATGGATTGATTGGTCATTGAATCTTTGAGTCAACCGATTCGTTCAAAATGCTGAATCATTCAGTAATGAGAACGCGTTGCTGTGAGATGCGCGATGGTTCTGCTGTGATCTTTGTTTAACTATTTTCGCTGCTGAAACAGAAAAAAAGTCAATATTGCATGTAAAATGTAAGTGATTTGACTTGTGTGTGTGTGTGTGTGTGTGTGTGTGATTGTGTGTGTGATTGTGTCTGTTACAGTGATAAGAGTTTAACCCTTGTTAAACTTTAGGCCTTGTCTTTTTGGATATATATCTTTTTATATTAAAAAATAGTCATACAACCCATATATTTTAAATGTATTGTTTGCTTTAAATTACATTAAGATTGTATGTTTGGTAATTGAACCTGAATGAATTTTAAATGAATGTGCTATATTTCAGATCATATATTTGTTTTCCTTAAAATTTGAACTAACACTAACTTTATTCTCATCTGAATGATAGATTATTTATTTCTGTATAAAATAAAAACACATTTGATTTTTCTTTTTTAATCAATGTAGAATGTGTAACTGAAAAAATAAACAGATTAGGGCTCTGTTTGATGACAAGAAATGAAAACCAATGCGATATGATGAATGTCCAAAAGATGGCTCCCACAGACTGTTTTTAAATAGGATTGTTTGATATTTTTTGCTTTTAAACTGTGTGTGTGTGTGTGTGTGTGTAAGAGATTTTGGTTGGGTGACAGTTGTAGTTTACAGTTTGACAAGAGTTTATAGCTTGACAAAAGCACAATGTTGTGTTTTATTGCAAGTGTACACAAATATAAGTAAACACTTTGCAGTTTGAATAATGTCCTGTATGAACAAAAGGACGGAGTATGTTTTTATGTCTACATTGTTCAATTACGCCACACACACACACACAAACACACACACACACACACACACACACACACACACACACACACAAACACTATTTTTCTAATCAGATCAGGCAAGTAATATTCTGTCTTGTCTCTTAAAAAAACAATATATATATATTTATGTATATATATATATATATATATATATATATGTGTGTGTGTGTGTGTGTGTGTTTGTGTGTGTATATATATAAATATAGCTGCGAGCAGCGATGAAAGGGCCAAAGCCGGCGGCACCGCCACCCCGGTTATAGCGCCACCAACTGGCAGCAGGAAGTCTGTCACTTTCAAAAAGCTTTGAAATCACCTGATTGCTTCAAACTTCACTACTATGATGTAAACACACGGCAGATGTAGACCTGGATGTAGACCTGACCTTTCAGAAGGTTGCTCTCGCATACTTTGTGGTTGATATGTGCCCTCAATGCACACTTTTGCAGAGCCCACACTGATACAAGCTCTACAGCACACTTCTTTTCGACAGTCAAAGCAGGGTTACGTTTTTGCACGTCGTGCACAATAACCCTAAAGGCACCAGGGTGGCGGTGCCACCGGCTTTATATATATATATATATATATATATATAAATAAATAAATATAGCTGCGAGCAGCGATGAAGGGCCAAAGCCGGTGGTACCGCCACCCCGGTGCCTTTAGGTAACTAAAGGCACCGGGGTTGCGGTGCCACCGGCTTGGGCCCGTAATCGCTGCTCGCAGCTATATTTTTTGTTTGTTTTTGCGCACAGAAAGTATTCTCGCCGCTTGATAAACTTAAAGGTTCTCTAAGCGATCCTGGGTGACGTCACTTCTTGTTGACGTTCGAACTACTGTCAAACAAAACGGAGGCTAGCTAGACCCTCCGCGCACTAACCCCCCAAACCCTTCTTGTCAGTCGTTGGCTGGAACAGTTTGGTATGTTTCGTGGTGCGGGTTAGCCCAGTTTGTTTTTGTTGCTGTTTGTGGAGCCTGGGGTGTCTGTAGAGACCGCGTTTCTTCACAGTGTGTTCAGGGGACAGGCAGCCAGCGGATAGTGAGGAGATGTTTGCTGTATGTGGCAAAAAAAGTTTTGGCCTAAAAAACGCGTGACATCGCTTAGAGCACCTTTAAGGTTGAGCCACTGTCATCACTCGGACTATTTTAACGATGTCTTTAATAACTTTCTGGGCCGGCAAGTTTCAATAACAATAGAAGCCTATGGAGGAGTGATCCAGCTCTCAGATTTAATCAGAAATATCTTCATTTGTGTCCCGAAGATGAACGAAAGTCTTACGGGGTTGAACAACATGAGGGAGAGTAATTACTGACAGAGTTTACATGTTTGGGTGAACTATCCCTTTAAGGCCCAATGCAGTGAAGTTGAAGTGTGTGGATTTATCACAGTGCAAATACAGTCACAGCTGTAGACGTGTGTCACATTCATCAGTAAATCCGGAGATATCTGCTCAGATCCAGGAACAATGAACGCCAGTAAACACGGCTCATCTTAATGGATGAAGCTCATTGCCTCTTCAAAGGGACACAAGCCCCTCAGAACATGTGCATACAAACAGCCTCCTCAAAGTGAGCGCTTCTCTGTCAAGTCGAGTCACCTTCATTCATACAGCGCTTTTAACTATATAGATCGTTTCAAAGCAGCTTTACAGTGATAACAGGAGATTACAGTAACAGAGATTGTTTAGGCTTTACAGCAGTTCTAGAATAAAGTTATTGTCCAGATAAAGTTAGTTTTAATTGATTCACTTCCGTTGTAAAGATCATTAGTTATTAACTTACCGCTAACACAACACCGTTTTAACTGAGAACAGAAAACATATAATGCGTTCTGGCCGCTCATTTGCACGGCAACAGTGTTTGGTGCTCGAGAACGCAAACTTTGAAACATGTTCCAAGGTGCAAACATTGAACATTTTTGGAAAACGTTATCATCTCCGTGTAAACTTCAAAAACGTGAATCTGTGTAAACGCTGACAGCGTGCACATGCGTATTACGTGTTCAGTCTATAGGTATGCACATTTCTCTACAGATTGACCTCAACAAATTGTCTGGCCTTAAAAATGTATAATACAGAATTGTTCATCGCTTCCGCGTATCCATGTGAACTGGAGTTATTCTGATGACGTTGTATCTGCAGAGGTGAAGGGAAGGAGGCCTTCACAGGGGAGACGCTAGCTCTGCTCTGACCCGCACACATTCAGTACAACTCTTCAGACCAGACTAAATGAACGAGAGATTATGCCATACCAGAGCAAAGCGTTATTACTCTAATGTTTGTCTTTCATCGCTCAGGAGATGTCATTGATTTCAGGGGACTATTGTCTGAAATATTTCTTTTGAAATGCCTGGAGGAGCTATATTTGTATATGTTTTTAAGAAAATGTGAATGCAAATTCAAAGCTTGCAGCCATGGTGATGTGAACTGTTGCCAGGGGGTTGTTAGGGTGTTACGAGTGGTTGCTATGGGGTTGCTATGCAGTTGTAGAGTGTTGTGGGTGGTTGCAAGGGGGTTCCCATGCAGATCTATGGTGTTGTGGGTGGTTACTAGGGGGTTGCTATACAGTTTCTAGAGGGTTATGGACTGTTGTTGTCAGGGGGTTGATATGCAGTCACTAGAGTGCCAAGGGGTTGCGATGCAGTAGCTAGAGTGTTGTGGTTGGTTGTCAGGGGGTTGCTATGAAGTTGCTAGAGTGCCAAGGTGTTGCGATGCAGTGTTGTGCATGGTTGCCAAGGGGTTGCAAATCAATAGCTAGAGTGTTGTGGTTGGTTGTCAGGGGGTTGCTATGAAGTTGCTAGAGTGCCAAGGGGGTTGCGATACAGTAGCTAGAGTGTTGTGGATGGTTGTCAGGGGGTTGCTATGAAGTCACTAGAGTGCCAAGGGGTTGCGATGCAGTAGCTAGAGTGTTGTGGTTGGTTGTCAGGGGGTTGCTATGAAGTTGCTAGAGTGCCAAGGGGGTTGCGATGCAGTAGCTAGAGTGTTGTGGATGGTTGTCAGGGGGTTGCTATGAAGTCACTAGAGTGCCAAGGGGTTGCGATGCAGTAGCTACAGTGTTGTGGTTGGTTGTCAGGGGGTTGCTATGAAGTTGCTAGAGTGCCAAGGGGGTTGCGATGCAGTAGCTAGAGTGTTGTGGATGGTTGTCAGGGGGTTGCTATGAAGTTACTAGAGTGCCAAGGGGTTGCGATGCAGTGTTGTGCATGGTTGCAAAGGGGTTGATATGTAGTCAATAGAGTGTTTTGGGTGGGAGTCAGGGGGTTGCTATGAAGTTGCTAGAGTGCCAAGGGGTTGCTATGCAGTAGATAGTGTTGTGGATGGTTGCCAGAGTCATGGTTACCTGTTATGCAGTTGCTAGAGTGTTGTGGGTGGTTGCCAGAGGCTTGCTATGCAGTCGCTAGAGTTGTGGTTTACAATGGGTCTGTTTTGCAGTTCATTTGCTAGATTGTTGTGTGCGGTTGTCAGGGGGTTATTATGTATTTGATAAAGTGCCATGGGATTGCTTTGCAGTTGCTAGAGTGTTTTGGGTGATTGCCAGGGGGTTGCAATGAAGTTTCTAGAGTGCCTAGGGGTTGCTATGCAGTAACTAGAGTGTTGTGGATGGTTATCAGGGGGTTGCTATGAAGTTGCTAGAGTGCCAAGGGGGTTGCTATGCAGTTGCTAAAATGTGTTGTAAATGGTTCCCATGGGGTTGGTATTCAGTCACAAGAGTGTTGTGGGTGGTTGCCAGGGTGTTGCTATGCAGTTGCCAGGCTGTTGTGGGTGACTACTAGGTGGATACTCAGAATGAGTCTCCAAATGGTCTCTGTGTAATCTCGGCGCTGATATTAAAGTGATCTCATTTGAGACTTTTCTTTCTTTTTAAGCCTAAGACACAAATACATTATTGAAAGATGAAGTACTTCGCAGAATTATTTGCCATATTTCCAGTATCTTGTTTTTCTGATCTTCCCGCTTTTTATCTTACAGGTGTGACACGACCAAATGCTCACAGCAGTTTTTTTGTCCAGTGTTTTACTGACAGATGAATGAGGGAGGAGTGTGTTATTCAAGCAGAGATATCAGCTTTCCTTACTGAACCTGAACCGACATCTGAGAGATGCCCAATGGATGATTTAGTTCAGAAGCCTTTAGTTCAGAAGATATTCAACAATCTAAAAGGATTGACCTGCAGTTAACCTTACAAACGCATATACAGCATAAAATGACAGTGAATGGTGACCGGAGCTGTTAAGATTCTGCTAAGCGATTTGGGGTGAACTATCCTTTTTGTGTGTGTTATATTTTGTGTGTGACATCAATGGAAATCCAGACATCACCATTATCATAATCTCTCTCAAGAGAAACCAGCTGAACATTGAAGTATGTTGCCGGTAACATCTGATACGAGCGACAGCATTCGGGTCATTTAATCCAGAGGAGCTGCTGGCGCTTTACTGCAATGGAAACTCATATGGATTTATAGCCCATATAATTACATAATTGCACTTTGTCTACTAACGCACCCACACGTGCCCTTTAGAAAACATGGAAAGGAAGCTGTCTGGGATATTGAACAAGCCGTGTTAGACTTCAAATGAAAATTAGCCCATGATTTACTCTCCCTCAAGCCATCCTAGGTGTATATGACATTCTTCTTTCAGACGATTACAATTAAGGTTAAGTTATTAAAAATGTCCTGGCCCTTCCAAGCTTTATAATGACAGTGAATGGCTGTTTCTGTTTTAAAGTCCATAAAAGTGCATCTATCCATGATAAAAGTGCATCTATCCATGATAAAAGTGCATCTATCCATGATAAAAGTGCATCTATCCCTCATAAAAGTGCATCTATCCAACATAAAAGTGCATCTGTCCATCATAAAAGTGCATCTATCCATCATAAAAGTGCATCTATCCATCATAAAAGTGCATCTATCCATCATAAAAGTGCATCTATCCATCATAAAAGTGCATCTATCCATCATAAAAGTGCATCTGTCCATCATAAAAGTGCATCTGTCCATCAAAAAAGTGCATCTATCCATCATAAAAGTGCATCTGTCCCTCATAAAAGTGCATCTATCATCATAAAAGTGCATCTATCCATCATAAAAGTGCATCTGTCCATCATAAATGTGCATCTATCCATCATAAAAAGTGCATCTATCCATCATAAAGTGCATCTATCCATCATAAAAGTGCATCTGTCCATCATAAAAGTGCATCTGTCATAAAAGTGCATCTATCCATCATAAAAGTGCATCTATCCATCATAAAGAGCATCTATCCATCATAAAAGTGCATCTATCCATCATAAAAGTGCATCTGTCCATCATAAAAGTGCATCTATCCATCATAAAAGTGCATCTGTCCATCATAAAAGTGCATCTGTCCATCATAAAAGTGCATCTGTCCATCATAAAAGTGCATCTGTCCTTCATAAAAGTGCATCTATCCATCATAAAAGTGCATCTGTCCATCATAAAAGTGCATCTGTCCATCATAAAAGTGCATCTGTCCATCATAAAAGTGCATCTGTCCATCATAAAAGTGCATCTATCCATCATAAAAGTGCATCTGTCCATCATAAAAGTGCATCTATCCCTCATAAAAGTGCATCTATCCATCATAAAAGTGCATCTGTCCATCATAAAAGTGCATCTATCCATCATAAAAGTGCATCTGTCCATCATAAAAGTGCATCTATCCATCATAAAAGTGCATCTGTCCATCATAAAAGTGCATCTGTCCATCCTAAAAGTGCATCTATCCATCATAAAAGTGCATCTGTCCATCATAAAAGTGCATCTATCCCTCATAAAAGTGCATCTATCCATCATAAAAGTGCATCTGTCCATCATAAAAGTGCATCTATCCATCATAAAAGTGCATCTATCCATCATAAAAGTGCATCTGTCCATCATAAACGTGCATCTGTCCATCATAAAAGTGCATCTGTCCATCATAAAAGTGCATCTATCCATCATAAAAGTGCATCTGTCCATCATAAAAGTGCATTTATCCATCATAAAAGTGCATCTGTCCATCATAAAAGTGCATCTGTCCATCATAAACGTGCATCTATCCATCATAAAAGTGCATCTGTCCATCATAAAAGTGCATCTGTCCATCATAAAAGTGCATTTATCCATCATAAAAGTGCATCTGTCCATCATAAAAGTGCATTTATCCATCATAAAAGTGCATCTGTCCATCATAAAAGTGCATCTGTCCATCATAAACGTGCATCTATCCATCATAAAAGTGCATCTGTCCATCATAAACGTGCATCTATCCATCATAAAAGTGCATCTGTCCATCATAAAAGTGCATCTGTCCATCATAAAAGTGCATCTGTCCATCATAAAAGTGCATCTATCCATCATAAAAGTGCATCTGTCCATCATAAAAGTGCATCTGTCCATCATAAAAGTGCATCTGTCCATCATAAAAGTGCATCTATCCATCATAAAAGTGCATCTGTCCATCATAAAAGTGCATCTATCCATCATAAAAGTGCATCTGTCCATCATAAAAGTGCATCTGTCCATCATAAAAGTGCATCTGTCCATCATAAAAGTGCATCTGTCCATCATAAAAGTGCATCTATCCATCATAAAAGTGCATCTGTCCATCATAAAAGTGCATCTGTCCATCATAAAAGTGCATCTATCCATCATAAAAGTGCATCTGTCCATCATAAAAGTGCATCTATCCCTCATAAAAGTGCATCTGTCCATCATAAAAGTGCATCTGTCCATCATAAAAGTGCATCTGTCCATCATAAAAGTGCATCTGTCCATCATAAAAGTGCATCTATCCATCATAAAAGTGCATCTGTCCATCATAAAAGTGCATCTGTCCATCATAAAAGTGCATCTGTCCATCATAAACGTGCATCTATCCATCATAAAAGTGCATCTGTCCATCATAAAAGTGCATCTGTCCATCATAAAAGTGCATCTGTCCATCATAAAAGTGCATCTGTCCATGATAAAAGTGCATCTATCCATCATAAAAGTGCATCTAACATAAGCAGAAGAGGTCAGGTTATCTCAAAACTTGAGTTTGTGATGTCTTTCTTTCTGTTCTTTTAAACGTATTACGTAACCTAAAAGTGAATGCTAAAAATGTTAATGTTTAAATGCAAACGCAAACAGAATACAAAGAGGTGTCTTGAACATTCCCATCACCGGCACAGTAGTGCATAGGACAAGCAGGGAAATTGGATTCTGGGAACAAAAGCCGAGAGAAAGCAGGTCTGGCTACGTGCCTGTGTGTGTGTGTGTGTGTGTGTGTGTGTGTGTGTGTGTGTGTGTGTGTGTGTGTGTGTGTGTGTGTGTGTGTGAGTGTGTGTATCTTTAATCTGATCACAGACACCGGCTGAATGGAAAGGAACGAGTGGATACATGCTGGAAACAGATGCTCTAAACAGATCTGAGAATATGATTATGACTGTTTTTGGTGCAAGACGTTGAAAACAAAGGTCTGAATATAATGCGAATGCTATTAGAGTGATACGAGACACTTGCCAGATTCTGATGCACCTTCATCTGGGGTTTCTTTTTTTTTATCTGCAAAAGAATAAAAAAGTGAGACATTAGAAACCAAAAGATGCATTGGAGAGTGAATACATATTTTGATTATAGCTATAAACAATGCCAACAGTGCTATCAGTCTCGTGAGAGAAATGAGGAATATTAACAAGAAGAAGAAATTGTTCATTTGCACAGAATACTTGTACCTTTCTCCTTGATCGCTCGGCTCTTGGGTCTCTTTGGAGGCATGTCTGCCAGTGAGTTTGTAAGATTTCAGTGGGATATCATGGGATATAAGCTGTAAAACAGAGAAGAATAACACGATCACAGTTTCAACAGTGTGTAAATCCACAGTATGCATGAAGTACGCTTATTCATTAGTTGAAATGCTCTGTGATGTACACACATCTGGATTAAAAAAAAAAGGTTATTTCTGAGATCATAACTGGACATGGTATGAAAACAATTCTGTTTAAATTGAATTGGATTATGTTTCATACTGCATTTTGGGGAAAACATACAACATAGTATACACCGTATTCAGTGTGCAGTAAGCAGTGCACTTACACAACCGAGGAAAACACACGGGCGACATCTGGTGGTGGAGCATAATATGACAAACTGAAATCGCACTGCTAATATTAGACGATGAACAGTAAAGCTCATGCTCTCTTGAGTAGGTTCTTGTTTTTAATAAGTAATTACTTCACAACTGCTAAAAAAGAGAAAGTTTTTATATAGTATGAGTGTGTGTAGTATGAATGTACATTCTCCGTGATGTCATTATCATGTGACCCACCGTCATGAATCCTCTCCTTTGGCCTTATGGGACAGTAAAGTGTCAATCATATTCACACTTCAGCGATTGGTTTTCCTTTTGCTCATAATGTTAATGCCTTGATTGTCGATAATGTGTTCTGTGGTTTTTCCTTATCTTACAGACACATTATTTGGGGTTTTATATTAATGACAAGAATCTAATCAAAGCAAGTTTTTGTATTAACCTACTTTTATTCATTGGAAAGTTTAATATCCATAAATGTAATTATGCAAAACCCCGCTTTGACATCTTCAAAAAGAATTGAATTTGTACTTAAAAACAATTTCAATGTCTGTAAATAAGAAAGCTATAAAAACGTCTAGAATTCGTGTTTAATATTTTTTCATAAAATGCTTTTAAAAATCTTTTTTAAATCTCTTGGCAAATCGGTAAATTAGGCTTCTTTATATGTTTTTCTTGTTGACTATTGAACTATAACTTGTTTAGTGTCTGAAAGTTTGTCTGTCTTTGTATCTTATGTTTGTTAAAATTAGCAATAAAAAAAAAATACAAATTATGAATCTCACCAGGTTATCCGGGTGTTTTTTTTGCCTTCTCGTTCATGAGGACTGTGAATTAGTACACACTTCTCTTCTCACATACTGTTCGCTTACTATATAGTAGGGAAAGTTTGAGATTTTGGATGCAGCCTTAGTCTTTTAAAATGTGTAAAAAATACTGTAAAATGAAATTCATTAAACACATAGACTTACCTGATTTAAATGTGACTTAAGGGGAAAGTTCACCCAAAAAATGAAAAACTATGACTTCCATATTTATCTGTCCTAGTATGGAGGTCAACTGTCTGGTTACCAACATTCTTCAAAATATATTCTTTTGTATTCAACTGAAGACAGAAACTCTTACAGGTTTGGAACAACATGAGGGCGAGTAAGTGATGACATAATTAGCATTTTTGGGTGAACTGTCCCTTTAAATAAAAGTCCTAATCTTAAAACTGCACTGTTACAGCGAGGGTATCAGAAGGTAATACCATGGTACTGAATGATTACAGTATACATATACCATTATATATACAATTGGATTTAAACGTAGCATAAACAGATAAAAGCCCAAAATTGGCAAATACATTATCACTCGTAACGTTACACACGCGAGCGAGATTTAAAACTGTTGTACTTTAACAGCGTCATTACGATTTATCACATGCAATGTTTTTAAATATATAAATAATCTTAGTATGATTCTTAAACCTTACCTCTTAATAATAATAATAATAATAAAACTTTATGGTGTCACTTTAAAGAATAAAAACGTTATTCCGAGTAAGCAGCGTGAACTGTCTCCAAGCATCCGGAATCACAGACGGTTACTATTGGTTACAGAGGCGGAGACTCGTGTGATTGACAGACCGCACAGCCAATCCTCACGTTGTTCAGCGGTAGCCCCGCCCCCTTCACCTGTTGACTCTCAGCACTGAGCGCGTCCGAAACACAACGCTGTTCATTTCAGTCGAAATTCACTTTAATCCGAATTGATTTCAGATTTTCATCGACTTTATGGAAGTTAGCTCAGAATAAAGACATAAATGCGCTCATCTCTCGCCGCTGGAGAACTAATTGATGCCATTTCCAGCTGGTGTAATTGGTGAGTTACTGATGAAATCCTGATTTTACTGAGCTATTCTGCTTAAAATACTGTGAACAGTTGCGTTTGGGTTGATTTTTGCATGTAATGCTTTGATTTACAGACCTCTGCTCCGTTTTAAACGGCGATAAAACACACCAGATCCTTATGGAAGCCCATTTCCACCTAATAAGATAAAATATAAATCAATTATGACATAGAAAGACGAAATTATGACATACTAAGACTTAGTATAGCAAATTTAAGTTTGTGTGCCATAATATTCACTTGGTATGTCATATTAATGACTTTTTATGACATCATTTTGACTTTTTATATCATAATTATGACTTAATATGTCATAATTTAGAGTTTTTTATGTCATTTTACAAAAGCATGTAACCGTGTTTACTGGCATCACAAGGTGTTGTAGTTTCGGATGGCACAGGTATGATGACGTCACATGACGAGTGTCAACTCATGAATATTTGGTTCATGTTGTTACATATGGCATTATGTCTGTTTTTACATGTTACAAAAAAACTCTCATAAAGTAAAAAATATCAACTCCAGGAAGCAAATAGTCATTCATGCTGGAAACCATGAACATGACGAGTGTCACGTGACTCTGACGAGGGTCACGTGACTCAGCCAGGAATGTGGATCAATTAATCAGAAGGTGAGCTGGATTCAGTCCATCAGTGTTGGAGAAGTGGAAGAGCCACATTACTGCACGTCTACGCTATATGTTTATTAATACTGTCAAGAACGTCTCTCTTCAGGGGTGGAATGGCTTATTTTGAGTTTATATCCAAGTTGATATGATCATGTGAAGTTTTACAAAGCTCATATATGTTTTCTTTGCTGATCCAAAGATCTCTGATAGATTTATATATGCTGATAAACGCCGGCTAGATATCGGTAGTTTCCAGCATCAGGAAACCCCCGATATCTAGTTTTTTTGTAACATGTAAAAGCAGACATATGGCAATATGTAACAACATGAACCAAATATTTATATGTAACAGCATATACCATGACAACAATAAGTGTAATTTGGTTTAAAAATCCCCAAAATATTATATATATCGTGATTAATCGGATCTAACATAAAAGTGTGTGTGTGTGTGTGTGTGTGTGTGTGTGTGTGTGTATATATATATATATATATATATATATATATATATATATATATATATATATATATGCACACACACAAACTTTTTGTTAGATGTGATTAATTGATTTGACAGCATAAAATATATATATATATATTTATTTTAATTTGTTTTAATTGAACAATAACACCAAAACTGATTATTAAAAGGTACTATTTCTCATTCTGGCCAATTATGTATTTTTTTTATATATAAAACAAATTTAAATGAATATGACCTATAAAAGCACATTAAATACAAAAGCTGCTGTAAATAATGCACAAAATATCATCATAATAACACTAAATGATCTGCTAGAATACATACAAGCAAAGTGATGAAATAGACTTATATGAAATATTTTTAATTGTCCTATCCTATCCTATCCTATCCATAGTTCATCCTGAATCCGATCTTGGATACTACATAAGCGTACGAACAACATGGCATTTTATCGTATGTCCTTTAGGTAAGGAAAACAAAGCAATGTAAATGCTGTTCTCAATGCAGAGGATTGCACTGTGGTTTTTCAGACATGGACGACTCCGGAGAGGCTTATTTGTGCATTAATGATCCCAACGGAAACTGGTCTGGATCCCACGCTGTCCTGGATCCGCTGGAGGAGGAGGAGGAGGAGGAGTTCAGGAGGAAGCTGAAGTATTTCTTCATGAACCCCTGTGACAAATACACCGCGCGCGGGAGAAAGCCCTGGAAACTGATCCTGCAGATCCTGAAGATCGCTGTGGTCACCATACAGGTACACTCGGATAAATGCAGGGTCGTTTTTAACCCAAATATGGGTCAAATATGGACAAACCCAGCCACTGGGTTACATTTTTAACTTACATTTTAACCCAACGGTTGTGTTTGTCCATATTTGACCCAAATTTGGGTTAAAACAACCCTGCATCTTTTAGAGTGTAAAAAGAGTCACAGTCAGAAATGATGGTTTAAGCAGAAAAAAGCTTTAAATGGCTGCTTTCTCCTGTGTGTGTGTGTGTGTGTAGCTGGTGTCGTTTGGTCTCAGTAATCAGATGGTGGTTCAGTTTAAAGAGGAGAATCTCATGACGTTCAGACATCTGTTCCTGAAGAACTTCAGCAGGAGCAGCGCGAACACGTACGCCGTTTACACCAAACACAACGTCTACACACACATCGCTTACGTCGTGGAGCAGGTGAGAATATATTCATGTTTATATTTAGAACTTGCCAAAAGAAAAAGATACAAAAACGCGTTTTAACCCTCTGGGTTCTTCGGCCAAAAATGACCGAAACAGTATACGTTTTGAAATGTTTAATTTTTTTGCTTCATCGGAGGGGGATGAAACTTGGTGACTTTTGTTGTATTACCTATGTGAACACACAAAATAATCAAGGAGATGATTCGGATATGTTAAAGGGTTGTAAAAAAAAGTCACACTTAGCTTCCTTTCTGTCAAAAACGGGCGACATAGGAAATGAATGGGAAATATGAAAAAATAGGAAAACTCAGAGAAACTTTTGGTGGTACAAGCTACAGATCAGCCACTGTGCAGAAAAAAAGTGTACAGCAATGAAGGGGTGACACTCTAAAACATCAAGAGTGCAAATAAGACCCCCCCCCCCCCCACACACACACACACACACCCACGCACACAAACACACATACACACACACACACAGAGAAATGAATAGGAAAGACTGTAACAGCAAATGTTGAGAAAATGCTAAATAAAATCAAAAATTAAAAGAAAATACAAAAGATAGGCTACTCTTTCTCGCTCAAATGCACACACACACACCTCATCATGTCTAAAACAACAATATGAATCAAAAAGCCTTTCTATGTATTTATATAGGAAGCCTACAGGTGGTTACGGACATTACACACATTTATACATTTTTACTTATAAAAAAAAGAAAGAAAAAAAAAGTAGTCTTTTAGAATATCTAAATATATATCTAAATAAAAAAAAAACGAATAAGAAAGAGAAATCATGTCTAAAACAGCAATAGGAATCAAAAAGCATTTCTATGTATTTACATAGGAAGCTATGGGCAGCCTACAGGCGGTTACGGACATTACACACTTTAAAACATTTTTAAAGCCACTGGATGGCGGTATTCTCACTTGATTTTTTTTTTTTGCCTGCTGCCAGCATTATATTTTAATGTGCCACGTTGAGTTTTTTTTTTTATAATAATAATAACAAAATTAAAAAAAATTCTAATGGAAAAAATAGCTCATAAAAACTATATAAAAATAGCAAAGCATCATAAAAATCTTTACAAATTCTAAATAATAATAAGAAAATATTATTGAACAAAAATATATTTGAATGGTTTCCCCGGGGGGAAAAAAAAGTTACATTTTAAGGCTTCGGTCTTTTTTGACCGAAAGGAAGCCAAGTGTAACCCCTAAACAAAGAAGCCCAGAGGGTTAAATTGCTTGCCATATATAAATATTTTTTAAAAGTTGCCAAAAGATGCAAAAATGTAATTTAAATTGCATGTCATACAGTATATAAATATTTATACTTAAATGTTGCCAAAAGATGGAAAATAATGTATTTTAAACTGCATGCCATAAAGAGTATACATATTAATATTTAAAAGTGCACAAACCAAACAAAAAAAATATTTTAAATTACATGACGTATATAAATATTTATATTTAAATGTCACCAAAAGATGGAAAATACTGTATTTTAAACTGCATGCCATACAGTATATAAATATTTATATTTAGAAGTTGCAAAAAAAGCAAAAATGTATTAAATTGCATGCCATATATAAATATTTTTTTAGAGTTGCCAAAAGATGCAAGACAGATTATAAATTGCATGCCATATAGTATCTAAATAGTTATATTTTAAAGTGCATTTGAAAAGATTAGATTAAATTGCACAAATGTATTTTAAATTGGATTCCATGTAAATATTAATATTTAAAAGTGCACAAAAGATGCAAATTTAAATGGCATGCGATTTATTTTTTATTTAAATGTATCCAAAAGATGGAAAAAGTATTTCAAAGTGCTTGCCATACAGTATAGAAATATTTATAAAAGATGCAAAGACGTATTTTACATTGCATGCAATATATAAAGAATTGTTTTACATTTGCCAAAAGATACAAAAATGGATTTTAAATCGTAATACAGTATATAAATATTTATATTTTAAAGTGCACATAAGATTAGATTAAATGGCACAAGTGTTTTTTAAATTGCATGTCATATATATATATATATATATATATATATATATATATAAATTATTTGTTTGTGTAGAACCTTGATGTTAAGCTTAAACAAATGCATCTTTCTCACTGGCCTTTCAAAGTTCAAGATTCTCAAAAAAATTAAAATCACAAAAGGTCAATCTTTCCCCCCTTGCAGTTTCTAACGTTGCCAAGCATAACGTTGGGCAACCATGAATATGAGAAGAAAGGTGAGGTTTACACTCCTCTCAGCGTCTGCCAGCAGTTCTACCACAACGGCAGCCTCTCACCAGCCAACGAGAGCTTTCACATCGACGCTCATGTGGATGAAGGTGTGTGTGTCGTGACGAGAACGTGCTCAGAAACACCTTTACTTCTCATCTACATAACCAATCCTGCATCTTCTGCCGGTTTCTTCCAGAGTGTTTGCTGATTTATCCACTGCATCCCTTCTCAACCATCACAGCAAACCCACTCAACTTTACTCTGCACTTTGAGAGGTATCGCCTCTATAGGAAAGATGTAGAATGCAGGGTTGTTTTTATTAACTAAAAAAAAAAAAAAAAAAAAAAAACATTTTCAGTGTTTTAAATAAAATACAATAAACTTTATTTTAGCTAGCTGCCAAGGCAAAATTAAAATTTTTTGTTTAAAATAGCTAAAACTTAATAAAAACTATTAAATATCAAAATATTAACAAACTCTAATAGTATATCAATGATACTAAAAACCGCCTCTATAGAAAAGATGTTGTATGATGCAGGGTTGTTATCATCAACTAAAACTAAACCACACAAAAAAAATCTGTATTTCATTGAAATTGAAATAAAATACAATAAACTTTTTTTATTTTAGCTAGCTGCCAAGGCAACATCTCTATTTTTTGTTTAAAATAACTAAAACTTAATAAAAACTAATAAATATCAAAATATTTACAAACTATAATAGTAAATCGGTGATACTTTATACAGTGGTGTGAATAAGTTATTACCCCCATGCTAAAGTTGCCTAAAAAGAGGAATAAAAAATCATCTTTTGGAAATTGATCTTAATGCCTTAATTAGAAAAATGAGGAAAAATCCAACCTTTAAGGACACCAATTTTCTTTGTGTATGAATAATGTATCATAAATAAATAAATGTTCTTTCTTAAAATACAGGGTGCATAAGTCAGGCCCCCCCTATGTTAAATTCCCATAGAGTCAGGCAGATTTTTATTTTTAAAGGCCAGTTATTTCATGGATCCAGGATAATATGCATCCTGATAAAGTTCCCTTGGCCTTTGGAATTAAAATATCCCACATCATCACATTCCCTTCACCATACCTAGAGATTGGCATGGGGTACTTTCCATAAGATCATCTTTCAATGCAAATCAAACCAGCTATTAGGCTAACTGAAATAACACCATGCCAATCTCTAGGTATGGTGAAGGGAATGTGATGATGTGGGATATTTTAATTCCAAAGGCCAAGGGAACTTTATCAGGATGCATATTATCCTGGATCCATGAAATAACTGGCCTTTAAAAATAAAAATCTGCCTGACTCTATGGGAATTTAACATAGGGGGGGCCTGACTTATGCACCCTGTATTTTAAGGAAGAACATTTATTTATTTATGATACATTATTCATACACAAAGAAAATTTGTGTCCTTAAAGGTTGGATTTTTCCTCATTTTTCTAATTAAGGCATTAAGATCAATTTCCAAAAGATGATTTTTTATTCCTCTTTTTAGGCAACTTTAGCATGGGGGTAATAACTTATTCACACCACTGTATGTGATTTTGTAGTGTACTAGTATATTGTATATTGTATTTTGAATATTGTATGTTATTGTTTTAATGTTTTTTATATTTAATTTTTAATGTTATTTATGCACTTACTTTTCCATCGTATCCTTTTCTATATACGATATATAAAATAGTTTATTATTATTATTATTATTATTTATTATTATACTAAAAAAGCACTCAAATATTTCTGTAAACATTACACATACTTTTGTACAGATCTTTAGAAAAAGCCCAAATGGAGTTTGTTGAATCAGTTTGTGTGTTTGTCCGTCAGGTTGTTGGCAGTGACTGTAAAATTCACTCTGAAATCCATTAACCTGGAGACGGTTCAGTATCACGAGCTTCCAGACTGTTACCTCTTCAACATTATGGTATGTCACATGACCTTTCAGTTATTATGACTTTATTGCTCACTGTACATTCATAAACTCATGAGTGGGATAAAATGGGAAGGATTCTCAGCTGGGAAGGTTTGCAGGTTTTTCCTTTATTGAACACATGACCATCACCCTGTTTCCAGAAAAAAAAAATCTACATTTTTTCTTGAGCATCAGATCCTCATATTAGAGTGATTTCTGAAGGATCATGTGACACTGAAGACTGGAGTAATGATGCTGAAAACTCAGCTTTGATCACAGGAATAAATTATACTTTACTATATATTCACATAGAGAACAGCTGATTTACATTGGAATAGTTTTTCTCGATTGCTTAAATACATTTCTTTTTTGTACATACATTTCAGAAATGATGACTCCTTTTCTCAGAACTCTAAACACAAATCCATAATTTCTCACCCATTTCCTCATACTTCCTATTTTCGGTTCAAAATTAAGCTTTCCACTCAAAACCAAACTTTGCCCTCAAAAACACACACACACACACTACAGCACAGTCTTACACACTAGAGAGATCAATTCAAAACACTTGATGATAACCTCAGTTTGTCAATCAGGAATCATTTTACAGCTCCATGTCTATTACAGTATACAAGATACAGTAAAATTCAACGATAATACACTTTTCTTAAAGCTTATCACACTACTGTAAAGAGATCTTGCTAGTACATGAAAAGCACTAGAAATGAAAAGTTCAAATATCAAAGAATTGAATTTGAACTTGGAATTGCAATACAGAATAGTGTACTGTCAATTACAGTACAGTAAAAAATAAATAAATTCAGCGTCCTCGGCCAAATTGCATTACAGTATTGATAATGACCATATTTGCCGTAGTATAACAGTTTTTTAGTCTTCTGAAAAGTCTTTCTCTCGCTCCCCTAGGCAGTCGTCTCTCAGGTCAGCAAATATACATTACATGTAAGAAGTACTTGGCTACAAATCAGTTTGGCCTTTGAGTTGGAGAGAGTAGAACATGTGTTATTACTGTAAGCAGAATAGTAAAAGTTCTCTCATCTAAAGTACTGCTGTTTCTGTAATGAACTGTATGTGTAAGTAGTGTGAAACCCTGTAGATCATTCCTGCACAAGAACATTGTCAACTATATAATGCTTTGTATTTCATCAGGAACAGATGTCCTTTGACCCCGTCCCGTTCGTTTTTTTTTGTCCCCTCCTCTTGCTCTTTGTCTCCCACCAGGATTCATTTTATAAAGCACATAATCATATTTGGCCCTATTTAGAATATCATGAGATAAATTGGTGTGTGTCATCAGTTTTTCTATTCAATGTTTGCTCTGAGTTCACAGTGTGACACTTGAGTTAATTATATTATGTGTGTGTGTTTTCTGAATGAGAACCTGTGCAAAATGAGGACATTTTTGTGTAGAGTTTTGCAAAACAAAAATTAAAACGTGTGTAAAAACAGGTGAAACGGTTTGAAAAGCAGAACTGAATGAATGGTTTGGGAAATTGGGCCAACTACACCAGTGATAGTGTGTTAGCAATCGAGAAAAACAGTAATATTTCACAATATTGTGTTTTTTTTACTGTATTTTTAATCGAATGCAGCTTTGTTGAGCATAACAGACTTCTTTTAAAAACTTAAATTCGTAATGATTCCGAACGTTTGAACGCTAGTGTAAATAAAAATAAAGAGCTATAAACGTCTTTTTTATTTTATGTTTATGAGCAGATCACCTTTGACAACAAGCCCCACAGTGGGAGAATCGGGATTGACCTGGACAGCGATGTGCAGATCTATGAATGCAGAGACTGGACTGTGACTGGTGCATGTGAGTCTTTCCCATGATTCTCTGCTGTTTTCCTTCTTTCTTTTTTACAATGATTCCTTTCTGTTGTGCAAAACACTTAAACTAATTTATTAAAAGTAAAAATTAGTGTTGTCATTTAAGAAAGTATTCCTATGAAACGTAAAGCAGACTGATTTGATTTGGACTTCAGCTTTAATAATCACTTGATTATTTTGACACAGTAATAAAAAGATTAACCAGATGGAAAAAGTTAAAGAGTTTGATGTTGGGCTGGAATGTTTTCATGAAAAATGAACATTCACTCCAACCAATCAAGTTTAATGTAAAATTCCCTTTATTGTGATTAAAGAAATCGACATAAAAGCATTGTCACCACATATGAATAGATTGAATATAAAAAAATCAAGAGATATCATCATGCTTCTCCAGTTTTTTGATTATTACATGAAGATTTTCAAACTCTTTTGTATTAAAAGTTTTCTGAAATGTTTAAATGTGCAAATGATGCATTAACTAGTGAAATATGCACTAAATGCATACATTTCCGGAACATAAATCTGAACATTGGATAAAGCCAGGCTCAAAATTATTCTTTGATTTTGTTGACATATTAGAGTTAAAGGATTTTACTGAGGGGATCTTTTTTTATCATTCCATAAATCCGAAAATACGGTCGAGAAACAAAAAAAGAAACATTTTCGTCATATTTTAGGAATAAAATGTTACATAAACCACTGTGAATGATAAATGAACAAACCCCTCAGTAAAAACCTTCAGAATATAGACAGGAATAAATCTCTAAATTTTGGTGTTTATAACTGCTGCAGAAGTGGAGGAAAAACTCTTTAAAGTTATGTATCGTAATCGAAATCTACAGATGCAAATAGAAAAATGCAATAAAATAAACACTTAAATGTGTATTTTGGATATTTTCTTTCCCAGTAGTCTGAAACACCACGTTATGAAAAGTGTTTATGCACTTCAGACTGATTTTAATGAATGTTTTTTGTCTGTAGCCCAGAGGGACATGTACATTATGGTTCTGTTTGACATAATGGTCATTCTGATTCTCCTGCTGTCGCTGCTTCTCTGCATGCGCTCGGTGAAAGCTGGAGTCCTGCTGCAGTTTGTGAGTTTGTTCGGTGATGTTTGTGCAATTATTCTGAAAAATTACTTGCCATGAAACACAAAAAAACATGTCTGAATGTCTGAGATGCTGTTTTCTATACAATGAAAGTGGAAGGCGATTTATATGGTCAAGCTCTACTAAAGGACAAAAACCTGCCATAAAGTGTCATAAAAGTTTATATTCCTTTGTTTTCTCTGAGTAACTTTGAATATAGGGCACACTAAAAAAAAATTGTATTTGAATTGCATATAAAATACAGTTTTACAAAAATAGATAATAAATGGGATGCGTATTTGTCAAATATGAATGATTTCTGAGGTCAGATTTCTGAAATGGATTTCACTAATAAACTGAAAGTGTTTTAAATCCACTAAAAGCAGTGTATTTATCATCACTAAATCCAGTTTATTTCAATCTCATACATTTTAACTACTTAAATGTTGCTTGAATATCCACACATTGTGAAAACAATTACTTTTATTTACCTGTCCTGGATAAATAAAATATTCTCAATGACTAGATTCTAAGCCAAATAGGATTTAAATAGAATCAAATATATGTAAATAATCAACTTTGGCATGATTTGTTTGAGTGTCGAAACAGTACCGGTTTCATTTATAAAAAAAAATGCATCACATTAAGTTTGTTTATTTTAAAACTCCAAATGAATGGAATTATTATATGCATTTCAAATACATAAATCTTAATATGTAGGTCTTAATATTTTTTTGAGGCCATGGAAAACTTTTTTATGATCATTTTATTTGTAGAGCATCAAAATTCAGACAGTAATCAAATGTTCATCTGTTTTTTAGGAATACACAGCGTTCTTCTCCAGTCGTTACAGCAAACGCGTGTCCTTCTCCGACCGTATGGAGTTCATTAACGGCTGGTTTATCCTCATCATCGTTAGTGATGTTCTCACCATCACAGGCTCTCTGCTGAAGATCATCATCCAGCTACAGGTGAGAAACCATCCCAACACAACTTAAAGAACAAGGTGACATGTAACTGCCTTTTTTGTTAAATAAACATGTCTAAACGAACAGATTTGGGGTCAGTAAGATTTTGTTTTATAAAGAAATTAATACTTTTATTCAGCAAGGATGCATTAAATTGAGCAAAAGTGACAGTAAAGACGTTTATAAAGTTCTAAAAGATTTCCATTTCAAATAAATTCATCAAAAAATCCTGGAAAATAAAATGCATCACGGTGTCCGCAAAAATATGAGGTGTTTTCAACACTGATAATAATCATAAATGTTTCTTGAGCATCAGATCCTCATATTAGAGTGATTTCTGAAGGATCATGTGACACTGAAGACTGGAGTAATGATGCTGAAAATCCAGCTTTGATCACAGGAATAAATTATACTTTACTGTATATTCACATAGAGAACAGCAGTTTTAAATTTCAATAGTATTTCACAATATTGCTGTATTTTTGATCAAATAATTGCAGCAATGGTATTAATAGCTCTTAAAATTTTGCATAACGTTGTTAAATCAGTGAAATGACTCTTTTAAGCTCTTTCTGTTGGTGTTTTCTCAGGCCATGGCGAGTTATGATCTGTGCAGTATCTTGCTGGGCACCGGCACCATGTTCGTGTGGATCGGGGCCTTACGCTACATGGGATACTTAAAAAAATACAATGTACGACCTGCTTATTCTCACTTCTCACTGCAGTTTTCAGGAGACTGAAGAGAGATAATTGGTTTGGCCATTTGTGACTCTGGATCACAAAACCAGTCGCACGGGTATATCTGTGGCAATAGCCAACAATACATTCTATGGGTCAAAATTATCGATTAAAAAAATTATTATTTTTTTATGCCAAAAATCATTAGGATATTAAGTAAAGATCATGTTCTATGAAGATATTTCGTTAATTTCCTACCGTAAATATATAAAACATGTATTTCTGTTAGAAAATGCAGCACAATCGCCAACATAAATGCACAACTTTAAAGGCGATTTTCTCAATATTTAGATTTTTTTGCACCCTCAGATTCCAGATTTTAAAATATTGTCCTATCCCAACAAACCATACATCAATGGAAAGATTATTTATTCAGCCTTCAGATGATGTATATATATTTCAAAATCAAAAACTTGCCCCATGTGACTGGTTTTGTGGTCCAAGGTCACATTTCTGCTTCTTGCAACATGAACGCTGTATTGAAATCCATCGTAGTATTGTATATTATTAAGAAAAATGTCAACATCTCCTGCCGAGATATGGTGTGTGTGTGTTCACATCATATTTTAATTACTGTAATTGTGCTTTTGAGTTGTAAAAACGCTTAAGTTTGTAGCGATTATACGCACGTATAAATATAATTAATTATTATTCATAACGGATTATGATCAATAATTAATAATTGAATAAGTTGTAATGTTATAAAGAGTTAATCTTGTGATAAAACAACTGCCTCTAACTGCTGAAGACACTGACGTTTCGGTTAAGTAGTTAAATCTACACAAATTACCCATTTAAATTCTATTCTAGTTCATTTTCACCTTGTGTAGTTTTTGTTAAGAGCAATTAGTGGTGAATATTTACATTAAACAGCACTTTACAGTACGGTTTCATTTGTTAACATTAGTTGACTACATTAGTTAACAAAATGACAATGAACAATACTTCTATAGTGTTTATTAATCTTAATATTAACAGATGCAACTTAGTAAATGTTAATTAATGCACTGTGAACTAACATGAACTTTTTTTGTTAACTAGCATTAACAAAGGTTCATAAATGCTCTTGAAATACATTTAACAAATGAGACCTTACTGTAAGGTTTCTAATATTGTCAATATTTTTATGTAAACAAGTGAAAAATAGTTTTTTCCAATTTTTTGCTATAGAAATGAATTATTTCTGTCTATTTATCAGTATGCTGGTGGACTTGCATTCATTCCTTCAGCAAGAGCACATTAACATTTTTATTAACTAACACTAACAAAGGTTCATAAATGCTCTGGAAATTATTTAATGCATGAAGAAATTTTAACATATGAGACCTTATTGTAAGGCTTCTAATATTTTCAATAATTTTATTAAAATAAGTGGGGGTTTTTTACCATGTAAATGGATTATTTCAGTGTATTTATCATTATGTTGGTGGACTTGCATACGTTCCTCCAGCACAAGCAGATGTAGTTGTAGTTCTGCTGGTGTAAGTGATTGCGCCCTCTGTTGACTGTGATGTGTAACTGCTTGTATTTGATTGGTCAGATTCTCATCATCACTCTGCGAGCGGCGTTTCCCAACGTCATCCGCTTCAGCTGCTGTGCCGCCATGATTTTCCTCGGCTACTGTTTCTGTGGGTGGATCGTGCTGGGACCGTACCACACCAAGGCAGGTCACTGGCGTCATACTGCTGTTTAAAGGGGGGTTGATTATGATTTCACTTTTCTAACTTTAGTTAGTGTGTAATGTTGCTGTTTGCAAAGTTACAACACGCAAAGGAAGATATTTTCTTTTACAGAAATCACTTTTTAAACGATTAGTTCACCTCAAAATGAAAATTTACTGATCATTTACTCACCCCAATGCCATCCAAGATGTTCATGTCTTTCTTTCTTCAGTGGAAAAGAACTAGGTTTTTTGAGGAAAACATTTCAGGATTTTTCTCCACACAATGGACTCCAAGCGCAACCAACATGTTGAAGTCCAAATCAATGCAGTTTCAAAGGGCTATGAAGAGCTTCAACGGCTCTGCACGACCCCAGCTGAGGAACAGGGTCTTATCTAGCCAAACCATCGGGCATTTAAAAAAAAAAAAAAAAAACATTTATATACTTAACCACAATTGTTCGTCTTGTGCTGGTCAGCGATGCGCCAGGCATTACGTCATCACGCTGGAAACGTCACGACTTTTTAAAAAATTTTATAATGATTTTATAATTAATAAATTAAAACAAAGATGTCAGACGGTTTTGAAGTTGGAGGACAAAACGGGAGAAAATGAGATGGAATTTTTCGCCCTTCCCTAGCTTTTTGAACCGGAGTACACAGACAAATAACTTGGATAGATGACATGACGCGCAACGTTTCCAACGTGATGTCGTAATCCCTTTCGCTAGATAAGACCCTGTTCCTCAGCTGGGTCGTCCAGAGCCGTTGAAGCTCTTCATAGCCGTTCTAAACTGCATTGATTTGGACTTCAACATGTTGGTTGCAATTGAAGTCCATTGTGTGGAGAAAAACCCTGAAATGTTTTCCTCAAACTTAATTTCTTTTCCACTGAAGAAAGAAAGACATGAACATCTTGGATGGCATTTGGGTGAGTAAATGATCAGGAAATTTTCATTTTGAGGTGAACTACTCCTTTAAGGACTCCAACAAACGGCTGGTAGGGACTACACGAGCTTCCTCCCGGGTTAGTGACATCACTAACCCTAAAATTTACATAAACCCCCGCCTCGCAACAAAGGGCTCTATATGGCTCTGCTAAGAACTAGCTCTTGAAGCTCCGCCCCCTGTGCCGGGAGAAGCAGCTCATTTGCATTTAAAGGGACAGACACAAAACAACGCGTTTTTTGCTCACCCTCAAAAAAGGACAATTTTAACGTGCTATAAAAAATTATCTGGGGGGTATTTGTAACAAAAATTTTACATACACATTCTGGGGACATCAGAGACTTATTTTACATCTTGAAAAAATGGGCATTATACCACCCATTTAAAGTTCAAATTTAATTAAATTCGTTTTTTAATTTATTTGTACTGATAATTTTGTACGTTAGTCAAAATGTGCAGTACACAACAGAGAAATAGCACTAATATATATATATATATATATATATATATATATATATATATATATATATATATATATATATATATATATTAGTTTGTATACACTCACCTAAAGGATTATTAGGAACACCTGTTCAATTTCTCATTAATGCAATTATCTAATCAACCAATCACATGGCAGTTGCTTCAATGCATTTAGGGGTGTGGTCCTGGTCAAGACAATCTCCTGAACTCCAAACTGAATGTCAGAATGGGAAAGAAAGGCGATTTAAGCAATTTTGAGCGTGGCATGGTTGTTGGTGCCAGACGGGTATTTCACACTCTGCTCAGTTACTGGGATTTTCACGCACAACCATTTCTAGGGTTTACAAAGAATGGTGTGAAAAGGGAAAAACATCCAGTATGCGGCAGTCCTGTGGGCGAAAATGCCTTGTTGATGCTAGAGGTCAGAGGAGAATGGGCCGACTGATTCAAGCTGATAGAAGAGCAACTTTGACTGAAATAACCACTCGTTACAACCGAGGTATGCAGCAAAGCATTTGTGAAGCCACAACACGCACAACCTTGAGGCGGATGGGCTACAACAGCAGAAGACCCCACCGGGTACCACTCATCTCCACTACAAATAGGAAAAAGAGGCTACAATTTGCAAGAGCTCACCAAAATTGGACAGTTGAAGACTGGAAAAATGTTGCCTGGTCTGATGAGTCTCGATTTCTGTTGAGACATTCAGATGTTAGAGTCAGAATTTGGCGTAAACAGAATGAGAACATGGATCCATCATGCCTTGTTACCACTGTGCAGGCTGGTGGTGGTGGTGTAATGGTGTGGGGGATGTTTTCTTGGCACACTTTAGGCCCCTTAGTGCCAATTGGGCATCGTTTAAATGCCACGGCCTACCTGAGCATTGTTTCTGACCATGTCCATCCCTTTATGGCCACCATGTACCCATCCTCTGATGGCTACTTCCAGCAGGATAATGCACCATGTCGCAAAGCTCGAATCCTTTCAAATTGGTTTCTTGAACATGACAATGAGTTCACTGTACTAAAATGGCCCCCACAGTCACCAGATCTCAACCCAATAGAGCATCTTTGGGATGTGGTGGAACGGGAGCTTCGTGCCCTGGATGTGCATCCCACAAATCTCCATTAACTGCAAGATGCTATCCTATCAATATGGGCCAACATTTCTAAAGAATGCTTTCAGCACCTTGTTGAATCAATGCCACGTAGAATTAAGGCAGTTCTGAAGGCGAAAGGGGGTCAAACACAGTATTAGTATGGTGTTCCTAATAATCCTGTAGGTGAGTGTATATATATATATATATATATGTATAGTGTCAATTGATTAACATTTTTTACTAATTAATCGCACATATTTCTGTAATTAATCGTGATTAATCGAACCTAACATACATTTTTAGTTTTATATTGTGATAATTTTACATTTAATCTCCAAATTAATGTAGAAACCATTATGAAAGTATATTTTAAATATTTGTTTAATGGCATCTTTTTATGAATGAAGGCCGGTATCACTGATACCAATACTGTTATTGATGTTTTTATGAAATGCGGCGAAAATACTTTTTGTGCGAAAAAACTAACACAAATATTGACTTTATTCAACTCTTCATGTTCTTCTGTGTGGGCCTCGAGTGAGTTCTCGTAGTGTAACAGCGCAGCGCTTCTGGGGTACGTCACGCACAGGCTCACTATTGGCCGACGCTGGTCATGTGATGCGTGTGACGTACACCAGAAGCGCTGCGCTGTTACACTACGTGAACTCACTCGAGGCCCACACAGAAGAACATGAAGAGTTGAATAAAGTCGTTATTTTTGTTTGTTTTTGCGCACAGAAAGTATTCCCGTCGCTTGATAAACTTAAGGTTGAGCCGCTGTCGTCACTCGGACTATTTTAACGATGTCTTTAATAACTTTCTGGACCGGCAAGTTTCAATCCCGTAGAAGCCTATGGAGGAGTGATCCAGCTCTCAGATTTACTCAGAAATATCTTCATTTGTGTCCCGAAGATGAACGAAAGTCTTACGGGGTTGAACAACATGAGCGAGAGTCATTACTAACAGAGTTTACATGTTTGGGGGAACTATCCCTTTAACCACTTATAAACTTTAGAGCCACAAACCTGTATATTAACCTCTTTTTATTTTAGGTGCACTTGTGTACATTAAAACAGAACCCAACTCTATATGTCAATGCATACAATGAATAGACAGGACGAGTCAGAGCAGTGGCACGCCTTGATCAAACACCATCAGGTTACTTTTTGTTTAAGATAAAACACACATATAATCTCCCAGCATTATCTGTAACATGCAAGCCTATGAGCAGTGGAGGGAAACTAAAACTGGCTTTTGGGTGATAGATAAATAAATAAGGGAAAAAATCGATTTGTGGCCTTTGAGAACCACATTTAAAAAAATCGATGAATCGAAAAATCAAATTTTTTGCCCAGCCCTACTGACGTGTGTTTGTGTTGTGCCTCAGTTCCGGACGCTGAACGTGGTTTTCGAGAGCCTGTTTTCGCTCATCAACGGCGACGACATGTTCGCCACCTTTAAGAACATGCAGCAGAAGAGTTACGTGGTGTGGCTCTTCAGCCGCCTGTATCTCTACACGTTTGTGTCTCTGTTCATCTACATGGTGCTCAGTCTGTTCATCACGCTCATCACGGACACCTACGACACCATGAAGGTGAGAGACGCTGACCGAAACACACAACATGCCATTCAAAACAACACATCGTTTCAAAGCAGCTTTACAGACTGCATGAGTCCACATTACAGAGTACAGAGATCTGTTATTAGAGGAGACTGAGTTATGTATTTCAGAAATGCACATATACAAAATCACAGTTAGCTAAAGATGTGTTCATTTAAACAATGTAATAATTTAATGCAGAAACAATGAGCTCATTGAAGTAATGCATACTTGTTTGGTAACAAATGATTATGACATTTAGAGAAATGTAGCATTGGTGCGTGTTGATTCAGAGTTTATAGTTTATCAATATATTCTAGTGTAGCCTTAATGATAAAAGAATAGAAGAGTGTAAAATAAGATAAGTTGGTAACGCTTTAGATTACAGCCCGGAAAGTACTGCGTAATTAAAGCAATTTTACAGCGTAACCTTCGGTAATTATAGTGTACCTATAACGTACTTACAATATAAGTATAAGGGAACAATATTTTAAGTTTGGGGAATAAAGGGGTAACAACCAGGAGAATTAAAAAAATATTAATATTGTGAGTATTATAGAACTAAGGGGTACTTATTCTACTATTATGATATAACAATCTTACATTTGTGATCAATTAAGCAAGAACATACACTGCGTATACCTTTTTGAAATAATGGTGAACCAGTACATACTGTATAGGCTTTATAAATAGATATAACAGATATGTACCCTGTCATTTTTTTAATGTAATCTTTTTAACAAAAGTGCACTGAAAACGAAAACTATTGCAACTTTTGCTTAAATATTGGGGAAAGATACTCTTGTTTCATGTAGTTACAGGGTAAGTACAATAAAAATGCACAATCTTATATATCACTGACTCGGAAACCTTTATTTATTATACAAGCACCACTTACCCTGTAACCACATGAAACAAGATATATTTCCCAGTATTTAAAAAAATTGCAATAGTCTTAGCTTTTCTTGCCTTGAAACATGTTAGCCCAAACTTAAACATCTGCACTTTTGCTATCAAAAAAAAATAAAATAAAAGTATAAATGCATAGATATGTACCCTGTCATTTTTAAAAAGCCTACAGTATGTATTGCCTTGGTACACAATTATTACAAAAAGGTACACAGTGTATGTTCTCGCTAAATTGCTCCCAAATGTAAGATTGTTGTATCATAATAGTAGAATAAGTACCCCTTAGTTCTATAATACTTACAGTATAAATATTTGTTTAATTCTCCTGGTCGTTACCCCTTTATTCCCCAAACTTTACATATTGTTCCCTTATACTTACATGTAAGTACTTTATAGGTACACTAGAATTACCGAAAGTTACTCTGTAAATTCCTCTTAATTACACAGTACTTTCCGGGCTGTAATCTAAAGCGTTACCGATAAGTTTATTGACCTGCTGGAACTTGAAGTGATTTTGGGTTGATGTGGTTGTGAGTGCAGTGCACTTTTAGAGACTCCGCCCACACTCTCTTCTGGTTGGCTGTGATTTTGGATTGATTTGGTTGTGAGTGCAGTGCGCTTGCAGAGAGACTCCGCCCACACGCTCTTCTGATTGGCTGTGATTTTAGATTGATTCAGAAATAGTTGTGTAGTTTAAATGCTTTTACTATATATGTTATTGCATGTTTTCTGAGTCTAAACTGTATGTGCGACTGATTGTTTAGTAATTTGTGTTTAGCATCAGCGATCGGACGGAGAGCCCGTGTCAGATCTTCAGGCGTTCATCATGCAGTGTAAAGACCCTCCAGAATCGGGACGCTTCAGTGTGAACGAGACCAGATTCCTGATGGGCTGCTGCTCACACAGGTGAACACATCGTCCAGCCATGTGGGAAAATAGTTTGGAAATGATGTTTGTCATGAATTATTATATTTGCAAAAGTTGATCTTTGAACATCATTAACCTCATCCTTCCCTCGCGGGTCAAAATGACCCGAAGCCCTAAAGTTATACTTATGGAGATTTTTTTTGTTATTTTATTTACCTTTAAATGACTAGATTTGATCAGTTAATGGGTAATTTAAGCACATTCCTCACATTCTTTCAACTTAAATTCAAAATAACTCACAATTTCATGTATAACACTTTTAATTCAGCTCTAAATATCTTACATTGGGAGTCTTTGACCTCTTGTAGAGATATAATAACACATGATATTTCATGACTCTAGATGGGCTTATAGCTCTATATGGAGCAGAGGAGCTGTTCCGCTGGGTCCTAAAGCCAGTCTGCATTCAGATACACATGTAGACATTATACAATCATTTTTAGTTGGAATTTTGAGCTTTTTTTTTTATAAATATGGGGGTCAAATTGACCCCTGAGGAAAGGATTTGTTACTTTTTTAAATTTAACCACAAAACTCCTTGAATCTTTTGTGTGTATTCGTGGTTCAAGTGCGACAAAAGTCCTGGGGTCTCGGACCCTCTGATGAACTTTTTTTTTTTTTTTTTTTATCAAAAATGATTTCCGGGTCAAAATGACCCGAGGGAAGTTAAAGCTCTTCTGACTGCTGAGGTGTGTGTGTGTGTGTGTGTGTGTGTGTGTGACAGTATGAGTTAGTAAAGGTGATATTGGTGTGTTTGTGACGCAGGACGTGCCGCTCCGATGACGACACCGACTGACCGGGACTTCACAGCGAAAATATTTGTATTATTAAGTGTATATAAATATATAAAAAGCTAATGAATGTCATAGCTGTCTAAACTTGTTTTTGTTTTGAGCACATTCATGTTTAGTACATTCTAGATCCTCTCCACTTTATGAAAGATTGTAAATTAGTGTAATTATTATTTATTGTGAATATATATATAGTTCATTTGCACTGGGGGACATGCTGAGTTTGGGTAAAGAGACATTTTTATATTCCTGTATTTCCCATGTTTCATTGTAACGTTGTGCTGTTTGTGTTTATAATGAAATGTTTCACCCTTTTATTTTTGAAAGCTTCAGATAAAATAAAAATTTTGATACCATGTTTCAGATGTGGATTATGGGTCCAGTCAGGGGAATAATTTATGTAGTCAGGTCTCATTTTTAAATGTAAAAATATTTTTATAGCTTCTGAGAAAGTGCAATATTAATCATGTTTGTGAAAAACTTTTGAGAATTGTATTAGTAAATATTCTTTTTGACTAACATGAGTGACATCAACAGAGATTAATATTTATTAGTAGGACTGATATGATGGAACTGATTTCCAAAAAAGTAAATATTACTGTAAGGTTCGTTTTACATATTGAATGTAGGTTTTATATCGGAGTTATAGGTTTTATATCTGAGTTATAGGTTTTATATCTGAGTTATAGGAAGTATAAAGGGGTCAAGATGTCGTGGATTTTAAATTTTTTATTTTAATATTCAATGAGGTTCACTTATGTTACTAAAGTTTTTTTGCACAAAAAACAAATATATATGCTGAAAAACTATTTTCAACCCTGTCTGAAATGATCAGTTTTTAATGCGTGGCTCCTTTAAGGCTTCAGTAAACGCCCACTGTTATGATTGGCTAACGCCGTCACTGCATAGGAAACAGTATCAACACACACTCGCTATTGAAAACATGATCCATATAAAACCATCATTTACAGCATTATGAATCATTTACTGAGGGTTTCTGATGCAGATTCTGTCAGATTAATACAGTCTCTGCTTCATCTGTCAACAGAAGTTTCTCTGTGAACTCTCCATTACACTGTGTCTCAGTCAAACGCTCCGAACACACACATAATCCTGCGACGCCATCCGGGACGCCGTTAAAATAAAGCATCCGCTTGTTCCTGACGCTGGATCTCCCGAAGCCTCGACAGAAACTCAAACCAGCCGTTTAAACTGGACACACGTTCTTCCACTCTTTCATTTCAGAGACTGAACGCCAGTGGGCGGAGCCTATGGTGTGATGAGGTGGAACTATTGGTCGATGTCTTGCTCTGGAGGCGGGCATATGCAAATGTGTGATGTCACAGATCCCGCAATATCAAAACGAGCTGTTTTTGGAGCTTGATTAAAGAAATGCTTTGTTTATAATGAGGAGGACGTTTTAATCAAGATGTTTTAACCTTTTATATGCCATAAGATCAAGGCAAGTTTTAATTCTCATGTCCCCTTTAGACATGAATAGCCTAAAATGACTGAAACAAACAATGTGAACATTTGTTTTTATTAAACAGCTCTCTTAAAAAAAAGTATTTATTTGAACAAAATATATAAATTAAATGTTGCAGAAATATTAGTATAGTCTCATAGAAAAAACGTGCACCAAACAAAATGAACTAACAAGTGTCAAACATTGGCAATATGACATTATGATTTTTTTTTAGAGCAATACACCTGAGCACAGTTAAAGGCAAGCTGATGATAATTTCTGCCAGTAGGACGATTGTATGACTTCAGTATACGATGATTGGTTCCGTGTGAAAACGGTGGATTGTGATAAAGGTTGGAGTGTGTGAGGAAGACGATGATCTGGGATTATGTGAATTTCTTGATGAAGCGCAGCTTGAGGTAAGCAATGACCAGGAAAATGATGGTCATGATTCCCATTGCCAAGTGATTCTGCCACAAACCCCAGGCTGAATAATCGATGCCCTGTTCCTTCAGGAACTCCTCGCCTGGGGTACAACTGCCATGAGAAGAAACCAGACATCAGACAAGCAGATTATTAATACTAAGTGTTCACTGGATTGATTTAATAGTAATTCTGCTACATCAAGTTAATTCTATTAAAGTCCCCCTGTGGTGTAAATCCAGCTTTTAATGTTGTTTATGTGTCTATGTGGTGTTTTTAATCTGCTTTAAGACACAACATGTGTAAGTTCATAAGTCGACAGCATTGCTGAGTATTTCCTCCTTTAAACTGCAGTGAACCAAAGACAGTCTCAAAAACACGGTTTGAAATCGCTGGTGTTTCTGACGTCACAAACGACCTTGTAACCAATCAGATCAACGTGTGATCGTCAACCAGTGGATCTCTGAGCTGAGGGAGTGAGTGGAGGCGGGGCTCATTTGCATATTCATAGAACCGCGCATACTAAATGAGGCAAGGGTGTCGAGTTACATTCAAAAAAACATTTAATTGTGTCATTTTGGGGATCAAAGAGGAGCTTTAAGGGATACAATTATTGACTACAGGGGGACTTTAAATGATCCAAATATTTACAATTAATTATGAGTTATAATTAAATTTTCGTATATACTTTTGAGCTAATTTGCTACATAGGTCAATAATGGTTGATGTTGCAAAACTCTAAAACTTTTTATAGGCTATCACGTAAAAAAAAAAAAAACCTGGATGGAAACACCAAAATGTGCATAAAACTTGTATGCGCTAAATTAAGGCAGATCATTTTTATCTGATAAGAAAACAAGCGCATTAAAACTACGATGGAAACATTTTCCGAATAAATCCCTGGATGTCCCTCAGCGTCGACTGTGATTGGATAACTGAAGTAACCAGTGGACCAATGGCATCGCAGCGTCTCTAATGTTGGTTTGGTGTTTCTGAAACGCCGGAGTCGGAGTGTGTGATCAGAATGGTTTGGTTTAATTCCCTCCAGAAGCGTCTCACACACACGAGTGTGTTCCCGAAAACACCAGCATCCGAAGGCCAGAGAACACGACAGCGTTTACTGTGTTTTCGTCTGACGCTCGACACACACTCGTTTATGATGGAGGGAAAAAGAGCCGATTGCAGAAACTTACAGTTTTATTATTGATATTTTATTCGCAAATGTTTTATGCGATATTATCATATTTTGCGCACAAGTTAAATTTGTATTGTGTCTTTTATCTCAGAGTTGCATGATATTGTGTGATATAAAGTCAGAATTGCGTGAGTTAATTGTGTGTTATATTCCAATTTTGCCCACAAGTTCAATTCACACAGAGACAGCAACACAGTGTCTCTGGACCGATCCTATGTTTCTGTCTGGATGTCTTAATCGCCACTGATCAGCAGGTCATGTAACTTCAAACCAAGCGGCAACCTTCCGGTCTCTCTCTTGAATCCACACTGAGTGAGTTAAACTGCAGTTCCTCCACTGGCCACTAGAGGCCGGCTGCAGAAGAGACTCAATCCCATAGACCCGCATGTTAAAATGCCCAACTTTACAGCAGAAATAAACATGTTTACAGTCTGGTGCAAAAAGTGGTTTTGGTCTATATCGCTAATGTTGCCCTTCATGACGACTGTGAGAGGGGTGAATTTTTTTACAACTCATCCGTTTAAATTATATTAAGCCTTAAAGTTGTGCATAATTAAGGGCGTGGCCACTTGAGTGACAGGTGGATTGCCGCTGATGTCACTGCTAGCCGTTTGTCTGCTGTGTGTTAGCGTCACCTCAGCTAATCCGCCTCGCTGCACATGTTCGTTTATCCGGGAGTGACGCTAACAAGATGGCGATGGCCGGCTCCGCCCACTTTGGGCTTCAAAAATGCTCTTCAGAAACACTACGGGTGACGTCACACGCATATTTTTTTACAGTCTATGCTTCATACTCACACATTCTCTGGCGTGCCGGTTGTGTTCCTGGTGTCACAGAACCTGAGGCCGGTGAACTCGTTGATTTCCAGAGCCTGAAACAATCATCATCAACCATAAATAAACATGATTTCTTCTGCATTCAACAAATCAAAAGCATGTTTTTAGTCTCAGGGTTCTTATACTTTAAAAAAAAAAACGTCCAAAAATGTTGCTTGAACTTGAAATCAAATCTTTTTTAAAAAAAATTTTTTTTTCACCTACTTTCCATTTAGTTCACCTTCATGTACTACAAGAACTACCACTGAAATCAACATTAATACAAACTGGATGAGTAAAACATCAGTCTGAAAGTCTTAAATAACCGAGGGAAATAAGTTTTAACCTGATTTAACACGTTGCAGGAATGTTTCTAGCATGAATGTTCCTAAACAGAGTTGGGGAAAGTTACTATGCGTTACAATATTGGGTTACTCCCTAAAAAAAGTAACATCAATACTTTCCATAAAAACTTACCATGTAAACTAATGTTTTACTTTTGCATTACTTTTTCTCATCTTGGTTGGTTTGCTTGTTTGCTTCTAAATAACAAAAAGTTCTATTTTTTCTTGTGTTAATAAAAAAAAGATATTTTGTAGTAAATAATGTAATCTGATTATGTAACTCACTCGTAATGCGTTACCCCAACACTTTTCCGAAAAACATTTAGCATTTTGCTAACATGTTTCTAGCATGATTTAACATTGCTGATGTTTTAACATGACGCTTGCATGATTCATGACGTTGCAAGCATGATTTAACACATTGTTAGCATGTTTTAGCATGTTTGCTAGCATGGTTTAACATGATTAGCACATTGTTATCCTGTTTTAACATGTTGCTAGCACAATTTAACACATGGTTAGCATGTTTTAACATGTTGCTAGAATGATTAAGCATGTTTGCTAGCATGATTTAATATGGTGTTTAATGTTTCTAACATGATTAGCACATTGTTAGCCTGTTGTAGCATGTTGCTATCATGATTTAGCATATTGCTAACATTTTTTGGCATATTGATAACATGATTTATCCGGTTGCTAGCATGAATTAACATTGCTTTGTCAAGTCAACATAGCATACTTAAAACAATTTTTATATAGTTAAAAAATACTACATATTTTTTACATCTAGACCAGCTCTGATTGGACACTCACAGCAAGACCGTAACGAGGAATACTGAAGTACTTCAACCAGTTCAACCAACCAGCCACACTGGGGAGATTCACCAGCAGCCCAGAGAAGATCTACACACACACACACACACACACACACACGGAGAGAGAGAGAGAGAGAGAGAGAGAGAGAGGTAACAAACAAATGTTGAATTAAACACAAATGTATTTATATTAACATTAGATGCATTTTATGCACTTGATCAGCCAACATCACATAGCTGATATACACTCTGAACACTGATGTGTGTGTGTTTACCATCATGAAGACGAAGCTGATGGTCAAAAAGATATTAGCGATGGCCACCACCGTCTGATCCGCAGAGATGGCCAGAGTCATGGCAGTCGCCGTGTACGAGACCATCATGATGGAGAAGAGGAAGATAAAGAACGCCTCCACCGATGCCTTCAGGCCTGGAGAACCAATCACAACACAGCATCAGAGAAGACGCCACACACTATCACTCACTCACTGACTGTCACTCTTTCACTCACAATCACTCACTCACTATCACTCACTCACTCATTCACTATCACTCACAATCACTCACTCACTATCACTCACTCACTCACTCACTATCACTCTTTCACTCACAATCACTCACTCACTATCACTCTTTCACTCACTATCAATCACTCACTCATTCACTATCACTCACTATCACTCACTCACAATCACACACCCACTATCACTCTTTCACTCACAATCACTCACTCACTCACTATCACTCACTTTCACTCACTATCACTCACTCACTCACTATCACTCACTCACTCACTTTCACTCACTATCACTCACTCACTCACTCACTATCACTCACCCACTATCACTCTTTCACTCACAATCACTCACTCACTCTCACTCTTTCACTCATTATCACTCTTTCACTCACTAGCACTCACTATCACTCACTCACTATCACTCTTTCACTCACTCACTATCACTCTTTCACTCACTATCACTCTTTCACTCACTCACTCACTCACTCACTATCCCTCACTATCACTCACTAACTCACACACTAGCTATCACTCACTCACTATCACTTTTTCACTCACTCACTCACTCACTCACTCACTCACTCACTCACTCACTCACTCACTCACTCACTCACTCACTCACTCTCACTCACTTTCACTCACTCTCACACTATCACTCTTTCACTCACTATCACTCACTTTCACTCACTCTCACTCACTTTCACTCACTCTCACACTATCACTCACTTTCACTCACTCACTCACTATCACTCACAATCACTCACTCACCATCACTCTTTCACTCACTCACTCACTCACTCACTCACTCACTCACTATCACTCTTTCACTTACAATCCCTCATCTCACACACTATCACTCTTTCACTCACTCACTCACTCACTCACTCACTCACTATCACTCTTTCACTCACTCACTCACTCACTATCCCTCATCTCACTCACTATCACTCACACACTATCACTCTTTCACTCACTCACTCACTCACTCATTCACTATCACTCTTTCACTCACTATCACTCACTTTCACTCACTCACTCACTCACTCACTCACTCACTCACTCACTATCACTCTTTCACTCACAATCACTCATCTCACTCACTATCACTCACACACTATCACTCTTTCACTCACAATCACTCATCTCACTCACTATCACTCACACACTATCACTCTTTCACTCACTATCAATCACTCACTTATTCACTATCACTCTTTCACTCACAATCACTCACTCACTATCACTCTTTCACTCACTATCAATCACTCACTCATTCACTATCACTCACTATCACTCACTCACAATCACACACCCACTATCACTCTTTCACTCACAATCACTCACTCACTCACTATCACTCACTTTCACTCACTATCACTCACTCACTCACTATCACTCACTCACTCACTATCACTCACTCACAATCACACACCCACTATCACTCTTTCACTCACTTTCACTCACTATCACTCACTCTCACTCTTTCACTCACTTTCACTCACTATCACTCACTCACTCGCTTTCACTCACTTTCACTCACTATCACTCACTCACTCACTCACTATCACTCACCCACTATCACTCTTTCACTCACAATCACTCACTAACTCTCACTCTTTCACTCACTATCACTCTTTCACTCACTAGCACTCACTATCACTCACTCACTATCACTCTTTCACTCACTCACTATCACTCTTTCACTCACTATCACTCTTTCACTCACTCACTCACTATCCCTCACTATCACTCACTAACTCACACACTAGCTATCACTCACTCACTATCACTTTTTCACTCACTCACTCACTCACTCACTCACTCACTCACTCACTCACTCACTCACTCACTCACTCACTCACTCACTCACTCACTCTCACTCACTTTCACTCACTCTCACACTATCACTCTTTCACTCACTATCACTCACTTTCACTCACTCTCACTCACTTTCACTCACTCTCACACTATCACTCACTCTCACACTATCACTCACTTTCACTCACAATCACTCACTCACCATCACTCTTTCACTCACTCACTCACTCACTCACTCACTCACTCACTCACTCACTATCACTCTTTCACTTACAATCCCTCATCTCACACACTATCACTCTTTCACTCACTCACTCACTCACTCACTATCACTCTTTCACTCACTCACTCACTCACTCACTCACTCACTCACTCACTCACTCACTATCCCTCATCTCACTCACTATCACTCACACACTATCACTCTTTCACTCACTCACTCACTCACTCATTCACTATCACTCTTTCACTCACTATCACTCACTATCACTCACTTACACTCACTCACTCACTATCACTCTTTCACTCACAATCACTCATCTCACTCACTATCACTCACACACTATCACTCTTTCACTCACAATCACTCATCTCACTCACTATCACTCACACACTATCACTCTTTCACTCACTATCAATCACTCACTTATTCACTATCACTCTTTCACTCACAATCACTCACTCACTATCACTCTTTCACTCACTATCAATCACTCACTCATTCACTATCACTCACTATCACTCACTCACAATCACACACCCACTATCACTCTTTCACTCACAATCACTCACTCACTATCACTCACTCACTCACTATCACTCACTTTCACTCACTATCACTCACTCACTCACTATCACTCACTCACAATCACACACCCACTATCACTCTTTCACTCACTTTCACTCACTATCACTCACTCTCACTCTTTCACTCACTTTCACTCACTATCACTCACTTACTCGCTTTCACTCACTAGCACTCACTATCACTCACTCACTATCACTCTTTCACTCACTCACTATCACTCTTTCACTCACTATCACTCTTTCACTCACTATCACTCTTTCACTCACTCACTCACTCACTATCCCTCACTATCACTCACTAACTCACACACTAGCTATCACTCACTCACTATCACTTTTTCACTCACTCACTCACTCACTCACTTTCACTTACTCTCACACTATCACTCTTTCACTCACTATCACTCACTTTCACTCACTCTCACTCACTTTCACTCACTCTCACACTATCACTCACTTTCACTCACTCACTCACTATCACTCACTCACTCACAATCACTCACTCACCATCACTCTTTCACTCACTCACTCACTCACTATCACTCTTTCACTTACAATCCCTCATCTCACACACTATCACTCTTTCACTCACTCACTCACTCACTCACTATCACTCTTTCACTCACTATCACTCACTATCACTCTTTCACTCACTATCACTCACTCACTCACTCACTCACTCACTCACTCACTCACTCACTCACTCACTCACTCCCTCATCTCACTCACTATCACTCACACACTATCACTCTTTCACTCACTCACTCACTCATTCACTATCACTCTTTCACTCACTATCACTCACTTTCACTTTCACTCACTCACTCACTCACTATCACTCTTTCACTCACAATCACTCATCTCACTCACTATCACTCACACACTATCACTCTTTCACTCACAATCACTCATCTCACTCACTATCACTCACACACTATCACTCTTTCACTCACAATCACTCATCTCACTCACTATCACTCACACACTATCACTCTTTCACTCACAATCACTCATCTCACTCACTATCACTCACACACTATCACTCTTTCACTCACAATCACTCATCTCACCCACTATCACTCACACACTATCACTCTTTCACTCACAATCACTCATCTCACTCACACACTATCACTCTTTCACTCACAATCACTCATCTCACTATCACTCACACACTATCACTCTTTCACTCACAATCACTCACTCACAATCACTCATCTCACTCACTATCACTCACACACTATCACTCTTTCACTCACTCACAATCACTCACTCACAATCACTCATCTCACTCACTATCACTCACACACTATCACTCACACACTATCACTCTTTCACTCACAATCACTCATCTCACTCACTATCACTCACACACTATCACTCTTTCACTCACAATCACTCATCTCACTCACTATCACTCTTTCACTCACTATCACTCACTCGCAGAATGTGAATGTCACACACACACACACACACACACACACCGATCATCCAGTAGGCCACACAGCTGAAGATGATGGCAGGGATGGTGCGCAGCGTGAGGATTTCAGACAGAAGCTTCGACAGAAAGTACACAGACACTCTGTAGTAGCCGCTGATGTACTCGTGCCTGAGACACAACAACAACAACAATGACAACATGACATATAATCACTCAAATATCGCGATTATCGTCACAATAGTAACTGTACATAAAACATCACACCAACCAAAATCACTGCCGCTAATAAACAAAGCACTCAACATATAATATTTTGGTGGAGATTATTTCACCCCTGTGTGTGTGTGTGTGTGTGTGTGTGTGTGTGTGTGTGTGTGTGTGTGTGTGTGTGTGTGTGTGTGTGTGTGTGTGTGTGTGTGTGTGTGTGCGTGTGTGTGTGTGTGTGTGTGTGTGTGTGTGTGTGTGTGTGTGTGTGTGTGTGTGTGAGTGAGTGTGTGTACTTACACAAACAGTTTCCTCTCTGTGATGAAGAGTTCAGCTGATGAAACTGAACTAAAGCACTGATTAGTAGTGATGAAGAATAAGGCGCCAATCCTGAAACACACACACACACACAACTTGAGTTTTTCACTGGCTGAAGGAAAATATGGGATTCACACAATTTAGTAAGTAACAATTTTAGTAAATTGTTTTTCATAAGACGAGTGAGATGCTACAGCTTCTGTTCTGTGATTCAAACACTGATGAACGTTTCGTACCGGTTCTGAATCCCACTCGAGTTTTCCTTCAATCCGAAAAATATCGCTCCAACAACCAGAGCCAGGAAGATTATGACCCCGATCTGGAGGAACAATACTCACATTAATATAAAAACATCAATAAAACCTTCATCTTTTTTTTTCTTTCATTTTCTTTTTTTCTTTCTACTTTCTTACTTTTTCTTTTATAATTATGAGATAAATATTTGAAATTATGACTTAAGTAAAATTATGATATACCAAGTCTAAATTAAGAAATAAAATTCTAAATAAACTTATAATCAAGATATATAATCAAGTTCTTAATCAAGTTATAATGACATAAAATATTGAAATTATATTTAAAAATATGATATGTGAAATTAAAATTACGAAATAAAATTTGAAATTGACATTCTAACTATGACAAAAAATGTTGAGATAATGACATACTGGGTTAAAATTTGAAATTGACAAATTCTAATTATGACATAAAAAGTTTAAATTATGACATTTTTATTATTATTATTATTTCTTTAAATTATTTTTTTAATTTCAAGCATACAATGAAAAAGTGTACAATATGTACAACATAAGACAATAATCGAAAGAACACTGATGATCAAACAGAAAAAATTCACCGCTGCTTGAAAAGGAGTGGGATAAAGTTTATCACTTATTGATTCCCACCCCCTCTTTCAAACTCTTAATAGTTTACTTCCTTTGGTATATCCACTTTTTTCCAAAACACAAGCACATTTATCTTCATACATTTATACAATATTCTATCAACAAAATTTCCAACTCATTTTCCTTCATTATTATAACGTTCAAAAATCATTTCTTTAAATCTTTTCCAGAATTGTTTTATATTTGGACATTCCTTAAGCTTCTCATTTAAGTTGTTCCACAGTTTCACCCCTTGTATGGAAACACAAAAACTTTTCTTCCTACTATGTACCAATGGAAATATGAAATTTAATCTTCCTCTCAACACATACCCTCCTTCTCTCCGAGTAAATAACTTTTGTACATTTTGAGAATTTGCACAGTCTGTAAATTCACCAAATCTTTCAATTTTAATAATTTGGACTTAAAATTATTAAAATACATAATAAGAGTTCTGCCACTTGTTGTTTTACAGAAGAGAGCTTTAATGATCAGGTTATAGGGAACATACCAATATATTTTTATGTATTTTGTTATTATGTAATTGTTTCCCAACATTTCTGCACAATAAGTGAAATATGGCAAAACTAATGAACAATAAAGCATACGTAAAGACTTAAAACTTGCCTTGCTCTACCAATTATTGCTATACTCCTTGAAACCTTTCTCCTAACCTGACTAATGTGAGGTTTCCAGTTCACTTTATCTAAAAATTTTATTTTACTAACATTTACAATATTCACTTCATCCAGCTTAATTTCAATTTTCAAATATTTCGACCATTACCAAACATCATTAATTTTGTTTTCTTTAAATTTAATGATAATTTATTTGTATCAAACCATAATTTAATCTTCTCTAATTCCTTATTAGTCTCCTGCACTAGCAACTAAAGATCACTGCCTAAACAAATAATATTAGTGTCATCAGCAAACAACACTAATTTCAGTGCTGTAATGTAAATAAGAAACAATTTCGGGCCTAACACCGACCCCTGTGGGACTCCACAAGAAATTTCCAAGCATTCTGAAAAATAATCTCCCAATTTCACAAACTGCTTTTGCTGAGTCAAGCAACTTTTTATCCAGTCTAATACCTTTCCTTGAATCCCATATCGCTCTAATTTTCCTAACAAAATTTCATGATTGATGGTATTAAACGCCTTCTGTAGATCAATAAATATTCCAATAGTGTGCATTTTGTTATCTACAGAACTTGATATTTCTTCAATTAAATCTAACAATGCAAATCCAAATCCATACTGGCATTCATTTAATATATTATTTTTTTCCAAAAAGTTGTCAAGATGAGGAATTTTTGAGAATTGTGGAAGCAGAGAAACCGGTCTATAGTTAGTAAATTGATGTTTGTCTCCTGATTTATAGAGTGGAATGACCTTTGCTATTTTCACTTGATTAGGAAATATGCCAGATTGAAATGATGAGTTATAAATATAGGTAAGAGGTTTTGAAATGGCCTCAATAACATTCCTCACCGCCGTCATATCAACATTGTTGCAATCATTTGAAGTTTTATTCTTATATTTTAAAACAATTTGACTTATCTCACTTTCCTCCACTGGAGAAAGGAACATTGAATTTACATTTCTTTCAATAGAGCAATAACCACATTGAATTATTGATCATTTCTGTGGTCTGGAATACTCTCTGCCATCTCTTTCCCAATATTAACAAAAAATGCATTGAAAGTATTGGCCACCTCTGTCATATTATAATTGTCTTTGTCTCCCATATTAACATATTTAGGATAACTTAACTGGCCTGAAGATTTTTTTATTACTTTATTCAATATTTTCCACATTTCCCTCACATCAGATGTCTTATTTTCTATGAATTTGTTGTATTAATCTTTCTTAGTTTTTCTCAAGATATTAGTCAATTTATTTATTTATTTCTTATACTTATTTTCCGCCTCTTTCGTTCTTTGTTTAAAAAAACTCCTTATAAAGCAAATTCTTCTATTTGATTGCATTTTTCAAGCCCTTTGTAATCCAGGGATGTCCTTTTTTCTTTGAAATTGTACATATTTTCTTCAATGGGCAATTCTTGTCATAAAATATTCTCATAAACTCACCATAGGCCTCATGTACATTGCTCGTATCATATACACCGTCCCAATTTTGTACAAATAAATCTTTCTTAAAAACATTCAAGGTTTCTACTGATCTTAATCTTTTGAATTTGTTTAATGGTTCCTGATGAGGCCTACAATCGCTATCAAACACTGTAAATACGGGCAAATGATCACTAATGTCACTTATTAATATTCCACTTATTGCATCATTAAAGATTTCATTTGTTAGAATATTGTCAATTAGTGTTAGAACATTAGAACATGACTAATGTCTCGTAATTATGACTTAGTACGTCACAATTTCAAGGTTTTGATGTGTTCAGCTGTTGAGCGCCTGACCTGAGCGAAGGAGGTCTGCGGGTTGAGCATCAGGTTCCGGAAGGTTCTCTTGAGGACCCAGTTGAACTGGTGGAAGAAGGACGTGCTGTAGGTGATGGTTCTGGTTTTGATTTTGACCCGAATGCTGTTCTGCTGACCCTGAATGATGCGATCCAGTTCACCTTTGGTGTGTTTGAAGCTGGAGCTATTCCTGTATTCCTCCACTAAACGATCCTCGATGCCCTTCAGAGATGAACTCATCTGATCCTGGTCCAGTTCTGGCATTCACACGCAGGTAGAGACTCAATCATTCAATTTGAAATGGACTTAAATTCTGATAATGACATAAAAAGTTGAAATTACCAAGTCTAAATTATGAAATAAAATTCAAAATCGACAAATAGTTATAATTATGAAATAAAAAGTTGAAATTATGACATACTAAGAAAAAATTATGAAATAAAATTTGAAATTGACTTCAATTCTAATTATGACATAAAAGTTGAAATTATGACCAAGTCTAACATAAACAGACAAAATCGACAAATAGTATGTCATAATTTCAACTTTTTATTTCATAATTATAAGTTAAAATTACGAAATAAGATTTGAAATTGACTTAAATTCTAATTATGACATTAAAGTTGAAATTATGATATACCAAGTCTAAATTATGAAATAAAATTCAAAATCGACAAATAGTTATAATTATGAAATAAAAAGTTGAAATTATGACATACTAAGAAAAAATTATGAAATAAAATTTGAAATTGACTTCAATTCTATTTATGACATAAAAGTTGAAATTATGACCAATTCTAACATAAACAGACAAAATTGACAAATAGTATGTCATAATTTCAACTTTTTATTTCATAATTATAAGTTAAAATTACGAAATAAGATTTGAAATTCACTTAAATTCTAATTATGACATTAAAGTTGAAATTATGACATACCAAGTCTAAATTATGAAATAAAATTCAAAATCGACAAATAGTTATAATTATGAAATAAAAAGTTGAAATTATGACATACTAAGAAAAAATTATGAAATAAAATTTGAAATTGACTTCAATTCTAATTATGACATAAAAGTTGAAATTATGACCAAGTCTAACATAAACAGACAAAATCGACAAATAGTATGTCACAATTTCAACTTTTTATTTCATAATTATAAGTTAAAATTACGAAATAAGATTTGAAATTCACTTCAATTCTAATTATGACATTAAAGTTGAAATTATGACATACCAAGTCTAAATTATGAAATAAAATTCAAAATCGACAAATAGTTATAATTATGAAATAAAAAGTTGAAATTATGACATACTAAGAAAAAATTACAAAATAAAATTTGAAATTGACTTTAATTCTAATTATGACATAAAAGTTGAAATTATGACCAAGTCTAACATAAACAGACAAAATCGACAAATAGTATATCATAATTTCAACTTTTTATTTCATAATTATAAGTTAAAATTACGAAATAAGATTTGAAATTGACTTAAATTCTAATTATGACATTAAAGTTGAAATTATGACATTACAAGTCTAAATTATGAAATAAAATTCAAAATCGACAAATAGTTATAATTATGAAATAAAAAGTTGAAATTATGACATAGCCTACTAAGAAAAAATTACGAAATAAGATTTGAAATTGACTTAAATTCTAATTATGACATAAAAAGTTGAAAATGTTGACACATGACTTATGTTTGACCATCATAATCTCATCTTTGTCTTGTAATTATGACGCATGTAGAGACTCAATCATTAACACATGATCCTGCACTTTATCCTTCACTTAAACTATTACAAACGTGTTACTAAAGGCTTAAAAAAACACATTATAAATGTTACATGGAAAACTTCAACAAAATATTGCCAGGGCAAATAACTGAAATAAATATATTAAGTTTATATTAGATTTAAGATATACTAAGAAGTACTAAAATTACTAAAACTAAAACTGAAATAAAAATAAATTAAAGCTAAATAGAAATACTTAAAGACTAATACAAATTACAAAAGAATATAAGAAAGTTAATAGAATTTAAACTACTAATTAAATTAAAAATAGAATTACGAAAATAAAAAATAATTTTCTCATGATATTTCTGAATTATATAATAGTAGTACATATTAATTCAAATTAATTAGTTAAAATAAGCTACATTTTAAACATTAAAATCTGCATATTTGTGATATTTCCGCCAGAGTGCTTTTTTTTAACCCTTTAAAAAGGCCTTTTTTCCCTGTAATCTTATTAAATGTGTGCTTCAACTTTTATTTCAAATTCATCAATTTGATCAATTAATGTACGAATAAAATTACGAAAATAAAAAATACTTTTCTCATGATATTTATGAATGATGTATATTATGTAGTAGTAAATATTCATTCAAATTCCACTGTGATAATATATTTCACTCCACTGTGTGTAGATATTATTTGAATGGGCGGTTCTTGACAAAAAAAAGCAGCAAATTGGCCGTTACACAGCGAGACTGCAGACACACAGAAGGGGAGTGTGTGTGTCTGTGTGTGCCGTACCCTCACTGTTGTGTAACTTGTTGAGTGTGACAGCCGTTGAGTCTCCGTTGATGACATCCAGGAAGAAATCAGCAGGGTTGTTATGAGGTTCACAGGTGTATCCTGACACACAAACAGAAGACATGAGAGTGAGTGTATGTGTGTGTGTGTGTGTGTGAGAGAGAGTGCATGTGTGTGTGTGTTCTCACCGATCTCACTGAAGTACTGCAGGGCGTCCTGAGCCGGCCCGTGATACACCATCCTTCCTCCCACCAGGAGCGTCAGGCTGTCGAACAGACGGTAGATCGAGTAGCGCGGCTGATGGATGGAAAGGATGATGGTGCGACCGTTGCGAGCCATTCTGAACACACACACACACACACATGCTTAAAACACAAAATATCTGTTTATGTTCATCTCAAAACACATACACACTTACACTTAAATTTTAGACACAATATTGACTGTTTTTGTTCTGTTTCAGCAGCGAAAATAAGTTCCAAACAAACATCACAGCAGAACCATATTGCATCTCACAGTAACATTCAACCGTGTTTCATTACTGAATAACAACAAAATTATTAGTTTTTCTGACTCTCGCATGCTGTTCAAAACCTTCTCCTCTCTTCTCAATCCTCCTCCTTCCTCCTCTCAATCTGTCCTCACTAGGATCTGTCATTCAAAAACATGGCTTTTCCCATCACTGTTATCATCTAGCTACTGGAGTGCCTCTGGGCTCAGTGCTGGGACCGCTTCTCTTCTCCATCTACATGTCCTCACTAGGATCTGTCATTCAGAAACATGGTTTATCCCATCACTGTTATCATCTAGCTACTGGAGTGCCTCAGGGCTCAGTGCTGGGACCGCTTCTCTTCTCCATCTACATGTCCTCACTAGGATCTGTCATTCAGAAACATGGTTTATCCCATCACTGTTATCATCTAGCTACTGGAGTGCCTCAGGGCTCAGTGCTGGGGCCGCTTCTCTTCTACATCTACATGTCCTCACTGGGATCTGTCATTCAGAAACATGGTTTATCCCATCACTGCTATCATCTAGCTACTGGAGTTCCTCAGGGCTCAGTGCTGGGACTGCTTCTCTTCTCCATCCACATGTCATCACTAGGATCTTTCATTCAGAAACATGGTTTATCCCATCCCTGTTATCATCTAGCTACTGGAGTGCCTCAGGGCTCAGTGCTGGGACCGCTTCTCTTCTACATCTACATGTCATCACTAGGATCTTTCATTCAGAAACATGGTTTATCCCATCCCTGTTATCATCTAGCTACTGGAGTGCCTCAGGGCTCAGTGCTGGGACCGCTTCTCTTCTACATCTACATGTCATCACTAGGATCTGTCATTCAGAAACATGGTTTTTCCCATCACTGTTATCATCTAGCTACTGGAGTGCCTCAGGGCTCAGTGCTGGGACCGCTTCTCTTCTCCATCTACATGTCATCACTAGGATCTGTCATTCAGAAACATGGTTTTTCCCATCACTGTTATCATCTAGCTACTGGAGTGCCTCAGGGCTCAGTGCTGGGACCGCTTCTCTTCTACATCTACATGTCATCACTAGGATCTGTCATTCAGAAACATGGTTTTTCCCATCACTGTTATCATCTAGCTACTGGAGTGCCTCAGTGCTCAGTGCTGGGACCGCTTCTCTTCTTCATCTACATGTCATCACTAGGATCTGTCATTCAGAAACATGGTTTTTCCCATCCCTGTTATCATCTAGCTACTGGAGTGCCTCAGGGCTCAGTGCTGGGACCGCTTCTCTTCTACATCTACATGTCATCACTAGGATCTGTCATTCAGAAACATGGTTTTTCCCATCACTGCTATCATCTAGCTACTGGAGTGCCTCAGGGCTCAGTGCTGGGACCGCTTCTCTTCTACATCTACATGTCCTCACTAGGATCTGTCATTCAGAAACATGGTTTATCCCATCACTGTTATCATCTAGCTACTGGAGTGCCTCAGGGCTCAGTGCTGGGACCGCTTCTCTTCTCCATCTACATGTCCTCACTGGGATCTGTCATTCAGAAACATGGTTTATCCCATCACTGTTATCATCTAGCTACTGGAGTGCCTCAGGGCTCAGTGCTGGGACTGCTTCTCTTCTCCATCTACATGTCCTCACTGGGATCTGTCATTCAGAAACATGGTTTATCCCATCACTGTTATCATCTAGCTACTGGAGTGCCTCAGGGCTCAGTGCTGGGACCGCTTCTCTTCTACATCTACATGTCCTCACTAGGATCTGTCATTCAGAAACATGGTTTATCCCATCACTGTTATCATCTAGCTACTGGAGTGCCTCAGGGCTCAGTGCTGGGACCGCTTCTCTTCTCCATCTACATGTCCTCACTGGGATCTGTCATTCAGAAACATGGTTTATCCCATCACTGTTATCATCTAGCTACTGGAGTGCCTCAGGGCTCAGTGCTGGGACCGCTTCTCTTCTCCATCTACATGTCCTCACTGGGATCTGTCATTCAGAAACATGGTTTTTCCCATCACTGCTATCATCTAGCTACTGGAGTGCCTCAGGGCTCAGTGCTGGGACCGCTTCTCTTCTACATCTACATGTCCTCACTAGGATCTGTCATTCAGAAACATGGTTTATCCCATCACTGTTATCATCTAGCTACTGGAGTGCCTCAGGGCTCAGTGCTGGGACCGCTTCTCTTCTCCATCTACATGTCCTCACTGGGATCTGTCATTCAGAAACATGGTTTATCCCATCACTGTTATCATCTAGCTACTGGAGTGCCTCAGGGCTCAGTGCTGGGACTGCTTCTCTTCTCCATCTACATGTCCTCACTGGGATCTGTCATTCAGAAACATGGTTTATCCCATCACTGTTATCATCTAGCTACTGGAGTGCCTCAGGGCTCAGTGCTGGGACCGCTTCTCTTCTACATCTACATGTCCTCACTAGGATCTGTCATTCAGAAACATGGTTTATCCCATCACTGCTATCATCTAGCTACTGGAGTGCCTCAGGGCTCAGTGCTGGGACTGCTTCTCTTCTCCATCTACATGTCCTCACTGGGATCTGTCATTCAGAAACATGGTTTATCCCATCACTGTTATCATCTAGCTACTGGAGTGCCTCAGGGCTCAGTGCTGGGACCGCTTCTCTTCTACATCTACATGTCCTCACTAGGATCTGTCATTCAGAAACATGGTTTATCCCATCACTGTTATCATCTAGCTACTGGAGTGCCTCAGGGCTCAGTGCTGGGACCGCTTCTCTTCTCCATCTACATGTCCTCACTGGGATCTGTCATTCAGAAACATGGTTTATCCCATCACTGTTATCATCTAGCTACTGGAGTGCCTCAGGGCTCAGTGCTGGGACCGCTTCGTTTCTCCATCTACATGTCCTCACTGGGATCTGTCATTCAGAAACATGGTTTTTCCCATCACTGCTATCATCTAGCTACTGGAGTGCCTCAGGGTGCAGTGCTGGGACCGCTTCTCTTCTCCATCTACATGTCATCACTGGGATCTGTCATTCAGAAACATGGTTTTTCCCATCACTGCTATCATCTAGCTACTGGAGTGCCTCAGGGCTCAGTGCTGGGACCGCTTCTCTTCTCCATCTACATGTCATCACTGGGATCTGTCATTCAGAAACATGGTTTTTACCATAACTGCTTTCATGTGCTCTGCTACCTTGTGCTCTGCAAGTGAATGCCATCTTATGGTGCCATCTCAAAGAGGCACAAAATCTCTGTCTCGGACCTTCACCTGGACTGTTCCCTGCTGGAGAAATGACCTGCCACACTCAACTAGACCGGCTCAGTCCGTGGCCATTTTCAAGAAACAGCTGAAGACACATTTTTATCCATTAATACTAACACTCTCTCCTTTTTTTTTTTTTTTTTTGTACACGTACTGCGTTAGACTAAACTGGGAAGGGTCATAGCACTTGCATATTGTTGTCCTATTGTTAGTTTAGCTGCTTCTATTGTTCTCATTTGTAAGTCGCTTGGGATAAAGGCGTCTGCTAAATGAAAAAATGTAAATGTAAATGTAAACGAATCATTTGAGTCACAGATTCAATGACTCATTCTTGAAAGAATCAGTTGTTTGAACAAATCGTTTGAATGAATGACTCAATGACTCACTCAATAAGACGGTCACCTGCCGCCACCTACTGGTGGTTTAGTTTCGTGTTTAAAAGTATCATTCTTTCCCAAACATTTTTTTATTTGTTAGGGTAAGTGTGTGTGTGAGTGAGTGAATATAAGTGTGTCTGTGTGTGTGTGTGTGAGTGTGTGAGTGAGTGAGTGTGCATGTGTGTGTGTGTGTGTGTGTGTGTAAACACACTTCTTCAGCAGCAAGAGGACAGAGTTGGCAGTGCTGGCGTCGAGGCCTGTTGTCGGTTCGTCCAGGAAAAGCACAGATGGATCGATGATCAACTCCATGCCGATGTTCGTCCTCTTCCTCTCTCCTCCCGAAATTCCACGAATCAGCTGCGTGCCCACCTGTGAACCAGCCAATCAGAGCAGCCGTGAGTCATGACTCATTCATTTCTTCCTCTTTCCACTTATTTATATATACGCTGTGACGTAGTTTGGCCAAATTGGCCGGCACGTGAAAAAGTTAATTTCAAACCCTGTGTATAATTATTATAACTCCTGAAGTGTGTGTTGTGTGTTACCCGTGAATCTGCCACTTTACTCAAGCCGAGCTCCTGGATGAGTTTCTCCACCTTCTCATCTTTCTCTCGCTGTTTGATCGTCTTCGGGAGCCGTAAAGCGGCTGAGAAACGCAGATTCTCCCGCACGGTCAGCGTCCCCATGACCACATCATCCTGACACACACACACACACACTCTCAGTGTTTATACCGTGACTGAGCACTTTCTGAACACACACACTTTGAGACAGAAGTGAGAGTGTCTCGTGACACGGCTGGCGTGATTTGAGATTAGATTAAAGAGTTATTAGATTTAGAGGAATTCAGACTCCAGAAGAAAACAGAACTTATAGTAACTCTATTACACTGAATTTACACTCTTAAACATATTTACAATACGGTAAATGATCTGCTGCTGTAAAGAAATCTATTGTAAGTTCCTCTGCAGTCAATAATCAAATTCCTTAAAACTCATATTTGTAAACTCAAAATTACAAATATAAAGTTTTTTCCAGTGAAAATAATTTTTTTTTTTTTTTTGTTTATTTGTCTGTATCCTGACATTGTTAAGCACTTTGGTCAACTGTGGTTGTTTTTGAATTTTTTTTATACAAATAAATTTGAACTTTTTAACTTCTTCATGCTTTAAAATATGAATGTAACTCGACACCCTTGCCTCATTTAGTGAGCGGACAATGCAAATGAGCCCCGCCTCCACTCACTCACTCACTCACAGCAGCTCAGATTACCTGATTCACTCACTACACGAGGTTTCATTTTTTGTTTGGTTTAATTCAGTCATATACGTTTGAACCATAAACTGATTCAGAAGATTAAGAGTGAATTCTACAGGTTCGTCTTCAAGTCGAGTGCAAGACATTAATTAATATGATTAACCTTCTGCTTGACTACGTTATCGAACAGCTAATAATGTGTTGCTAATGTCACAAAAAAACATGTCCCCGTTCGCCATCTCCGCCCTCTCATTGACGGGTTTGGTCACATGATTGTGACAGTTCTATGAATATGCAAATGAGCCCCGCCTCCACTCACTCCCTCAGCTCAGAGATCCACTGGTTGACGATCACACGT